TCACATCAAGTTGGTGGATCCTAATCGGAGTCTGGGTCAGAATACTAGTTTTAGATTTTCCCCAATTCTGAGTTGAGGAGACAGAGTAAGGTGATGAAATTCCCTCATTAAACAAATTTCTTTTCACCAAATCTATCATATGGCACTAACATTACACTGAGGCACTAGCTCATCTCTAAGAATTTTCTAGTGCAAATTTCTAGGTAGGATTTTACCATCATTATTATCATCATTAAATTCTGAGCTATTCGAACCAGTTGCAGTGTTTCGGACCATTTTTGTCCACGAAAACTTGAAGAAAATATTGTAACTTACCAACAGAGCAGGCTATTCAGTGTGAAAACGCTGATGAGACGAACAAGTATGACCAACATCTGAACACACAGATTAATAATAAATATCAAAGCACTGAGTACATCGCTCTAAAACCAAAGCCTAGAATTATTGATTAACGTGTAAGTAAAAGAATTTTTACCCCAGACTTTATATTTAATACCAAGTCTTTTATGGCAGCAGTCCTCAAAATTAAAACTCGTAACATCCTATCGTACCAATCTAGCTGGTAAACTGTCATAACAACCGACATTTGTATACGGTAAACCCTCCCAAAGTTAAAATCGGTCTAATCAAGTGCAACCAAATCTACTAGTTGTATCATTAAAATTATTCTATAAGCAGCGGTGCACTACGCAGTCAGTCTATCCAAAATTCTTTTGGGTTACAGCCTTCAGTGGTACCTCTGGTGTGGCATATATCTCAAGTCATTTCATACCACACGCACAATATAAAATCACCCCCCCCACATAGCCTCAAGCACGCAACGTTCTCACCCTTAATTCCGAGTTAGAAACTCCTTCAGGGAACATCAGTAACCCCTTTAATATGTCTCCTCCTAACCTCTGTCACCAACAAGATGCGCAACTGTACTAACTTTCCCTGACTTTCAACCTGTATCTCACTCATGATAGTCATAATAACTAGTTTACTTGCGTTACACTCAATTATTTTAGATTAGTGGCACATTTGTTTAATATATGTCTTTTCATCGCTCTTTCTTTCTGCAACAAAAAGAAAGGTCTAGCCATGTTTGAACTTATTTATCAGTCATCACTTATGGTGATATCTGAGGCAAAGACCACCAGTCATATTTCCGATCTAAGTATATCGCTTAGAGACTATGCTACGCTTTGATATTATAAGTTACTGGGATGCCTCATATGTGCTCACTCTTACATGATATGCCGGAACGAAACAAACAACCAGATTCGGTGTGGATCGTTCTGAAACCCTAAAATGCAGTTTCCTCACTGTTCGGCTGTGTTAACCGTCAACATAACGTACATTCAGGGGATCTAGCGATATATTCAGATGTTTGTTACATCACTACCGCTTACAGCCAAGGCTTTTTGTGGGGGCATCAACATGCCTGAAATCTTTTGCTTCCCAGTCAAAACACCAAAGTGATTCATTGAATACTTATAGCTTGGAGAGTGGACTCGATATGCTGACGGCCCTATAAGGCATCACAATATTTTGGATTTAGTCTTCGACAGTTACTTGATCCGCAATACCGTATATGTTGGAAAAAGGCTTATAGGTAGCGATCATAATATCATCAAATGTAGGCTTAATCTAGAAACTACAATTACAAAACGTAAAACTACCACACTTCATAGGAACTGTCATAAGACTGGTCCGAAAAACTTGAAAAATTGCCTCAGAATCATTGACCGGACACTCTTCTTTACTGCAAACACTACCGACAAATTAACAAACATATTTTATCACATTAGTAGTATCATCAATAAAATCGCACCCTTAGGAGAACCGGAATTTCTAAAGATTTATATATACTAAAACGCCTACGAAGACATGCATCAAACTTCATAACCTTAATGACTTCTCCTTCTTAGTCATGATGACTGAAATATTTTTCGAGGCATAATTAATACGTACGAAAAAGGCAGTTGCACAGAAAAAGTATGCTGTCGAAATGAACAATTAATTTTCCCGATTTATAAAAATCCCTCGAAATAAACTTAAATGCTCTAGAGTGGAATGAGGGAGAGTATCTATCCAGCACAACCAAGTGTACGAAGACCCCAATTGTCTCACAGAGCTTATAGGCGAAAACGTTTGCGCCCAACAAACAAACGAAAGCCCACGAAATGAATCATGTAGTAGCATTTGTAACCGGTTAACCTTGCATGTTATCTGGCATGCCTCATCTTTTAAACATCAATATCGCAGACAGTATACTAGTAGAAGATGTCCAAAGAGGCTGTATCCAAAGCTTAACATCGCCAGCAAATAATAACAACTCGGACGATAATTTGAGGCCGATAATTTATTTAAGTTAGGAAGAGAGTGGGTCCTGGTAACTAAACGTGAGAGACTCGAATAAGACACTTAATCCTAAGAAGGATTAAAGTCCAACCCAACCGTGATAGGTCGATTACACAGATACGGATTGAACCAGTCTGTTAAAGGTGGCTTGATAGCAAACAGTTTGAGCTAACTGATTAGTAATATATGGTTGGCGCTGTCGACATCTTTTGAGAAGCTAATGTACACCGTACAAACCATTCCTGAGCGATCAAGATGATTATCCGTCTATTCATTTAGTGTATAGTTGCCGCACATAAGACTGTAAATTCCGCTCGTGATATAAATAACAATGTGTCATATAAGTGAGCTGCCTGTCATACCTGAATGCAAACCATATGTTAACTGACATATGTCTTGCAACTTATACCATTAGTTAACTTAATATCAGTATAAGTTGCTACGTGAATATATAATCCATTATACACAAGCTATCAGGGGGAAAACTTATATTATTATTACCATTATTATTCAATTTTCTGGTTTGACTGTATCATGGAGCTAGTAGACACAGTGTATTCCCAAAACGTATGCAAGATAGAGCTTAGATTGGGACATTTAAAATATCCCACAAACATTAGACAGTCTAATATCACAAAGTAGGGAGGGTGATGTATTTGACCAGCATTCATGACGGTGGAGCGATAACCTCAGTCCATCCATGTCAGTGAGGCAGAATAGTTTTTGATAGTTATAATAGCTAGCTTTTTGTGATTTGAACTGATTAAAAAGTTATCCCGTTAAATTAGAAATCTAAGTGCGTTGCATATGAACCTGCATATGAACCAAATCGCTCTAGGTAAATGACACTCAATGAGTGATAGTGAGACAGTTTTGGACTGGCGTGATGTTAGGAGAAGTAATGTAGAAATAAAACTACTTCGAAAACATAATGAGGCTTTGGTACATATAAATTGACAGATTATGTTTACATCAAAATCATTCATAAAGAATGAATGATATAATACTTTCACTATTCAATTAGTTCGCTTTATCAGCTCGAATCTACAGACATCTTATTCATAGTTTCTCACTGATAGTTGGTTGATTGCTAACTTCGCTCTCTAAATACCGATGCATAATGCTTTATCTGAAGGCACTAAGCTGTAGTTACGATGCTTATGATGGGCCTAATACTAATTAAATGAGAAGCAGGAGATGAATAAAAGTCAATTATATAGGTGATAAAGGCTTTGTTAACTGATCAAAAATATGGATAAAGCACACAAATGCGACCTTATCTTCACACGTGTATTTAACAATCGGGCCAAAAGTGGAATGATATAGCGTTTTGGCGCTCCGTCAACAAACACAGTTATTATGACTATTTATCATCATTGTTGAACTATTAGAAAAAGTGAATGACGAAAAGCAACTTGATGTTAGGAAACCACGACATATCTGTCAGAAAAGTTTATACAGGACCAAACGTGCCATAAAACGTTTCATCCAATGTGGAATCGCGTACCACCATTGTAACTGGATATTTAGCCACTCTATTATCGTATTTAACGTGGTTCTCAAACCTTCCGTAGGCAAGAGACATGAGAAGCTATTAATACACTCACGTTCCCGTACATGAAGCTGCTTTGGAGTAAAGCGTTCTTCTTGTAAATGGGGCTTTTTTTCTCGTGTTCAGTTCACAGTGTAGATTTAGTCTAAGGTTATAAGAAGTGAGTAGGAATTCAGATCTTGCATTCACGTAGCAGAATAATCACTTAGTTAGGCGAAAGTTTTAGTGGTGAGTGATACCGGATTGTCTATGATCACCACTAAATGTTCCATACTATCCCGTCATTTAAATCATGATAAATCCATGTTTCAGTATTTTATTGAAGTAGAAAATAGGCATTACATAGGGAGTAGCGCATTTAGAAAAATGGCAGCAACGCGAAGAGAACGTTGCGCGCAAGAAATTTTTTTTGGTACAGTTAAACAAAACGACTACAATAATGTTTATTTTTCACAAATCCTATTTTCTTCGCAGAAATGTTCCACTACAAAGTCATGAAATATTCTTGTTGGATAACAAAATAGATTTCGCAAGAGGCGCAGATACCTCAAGCATACATAAAGTTTGATTATTAAGTATGTAGCAAGATTTTCTGATCTTCTATCTGAGGATAAACCAAAACGATTATATCTTCCTGTCGTTGAATGACAAGGAGTCTGATGAAATTGTTCCCATCTTTATCAGTAACTCTGTTGCAAAGATGTCCTACAGGTTTACCTCTCTCTGAACATTACTTTCAGAAGTCATCGCAACTGTTTATGGCAGTAATGGAAGAAACTGAGAACCGAACTCTGTGATTAATGGCCGCAACCAGTGGCTTATTTCTTATTAATAGATAACCCCAACGAAAAGTTGAGTTGGACAGTTCTTAACTCTGTCCAACGGACCTGTTATCTTTATTTTTGACTTACTAGAAATTCGATGGCAACTAGTCCATTTTAGTGCGATTGCAACTGATTTTTTGTCATGTCAGTCATACATTGTGAGCTGACAAAAGCTACAATAGATGGAGGAAAATATTTTGTGATGACACACTGTTTTTACGTACTCATTGGCTTTTGTTTAGTTTGTCTCAAGGTTGTATATCAGCTGTTCATTAGAAATGGCGTCTACTTTGGATGGTGACAAAAGATGTCAGCTTAAGGAGGATATCATTAAACAGCTGTACCTTGTGGCTTATATGCAAGGCAGCAAGCTCCCAACATGTCTTGTTACTAATTCAAAATGTAGCAAGGTTCAGGTTCGCGGGGATGGACGTACGGCTGTTGGTGAGTTATATTTATAATGGTATCTGTTTTCACATACTTAAATTTCCAATTTGGTTGTTTCTAACTTCTTCCTATGAAAATAATAAACCCGGAATGCTCTCTTATAAATTACGCTATGAAGAAAAATTGCTAAAACGTTTCCTCGGTGACTTAATGTTCACTACACTGTCTGAACCGTTCACTGTATAAGAGACTCAGAGGTGTATAATAATTCATTGCAAATAATATTAATATTCATAAAATTGGGCTCATAATCACCTAGATACCTTCCTTCGTTTTAGAATTTCATAGGTCGATCTTGCTCATAAGTTCAAATCTTACCTTTGAAATTGTGTGCGATCATTGTCTGTTTCATTTCTCATATAGACTCGATGTTAGGAAGCTTAAATCTCTAAATACATATTTCGATACACAGTCACTGCCCTAGGTTTCCTCGTGAAGTTTGAATTTTTCATGGTTTCTGTCTCCATACTGTCGACATCAGTATTATTAACAATAATTCGGTTCAAGCGCGGATGCGTAAATATTCTATGCACTTATCAATACCGTCAAAGCGTTCTGAAAAATAACAAGTTAGCTTCTTTGGGGCTTCAATCTTTTATATAAGACGATCGTTTATACCATTCGCTTAAATGTTAGAATTCTGCTCAACATACGAATATGTGAGCTGTCAGGTAATTGATACGAGTGATCAGTGATCTTGTATACAGTTTTATTTGGTTGCTGGATTTCTTTACCTGATTAATATGATGAAAAAATAGATATAAAATATTAGGGCAAGATTTGAAGAGAAATAAATTATCTTATAATGTAACCCATGAGCTGAATGCAAAGCTCTATATTCAAGCTTAAGCCTTACCACTTTGTGCACAAATCAAAAGCACCAGCTAGTTGTGCAAGCTAAGCTAAACAGAGATGAGTTTAACACTGACTCCGGTTGGTTTAAAATCAAGCGCCCTAATGTTATGGTACCATTCTACAAAGAGAATATGGAAAGTAAAACAATTATTATATACTATTAATTTCACCTCTGCTAACAACTAACGGAGTAAAATTTCGCCTGGTACACTTGAGTGACTTTCTTCGGTTGCTAATCTCAGTCTTCCTTATTCGGGACGTAATTTTTATGGAAAAAATGACCGAAGAGGTGATAAAATGTTTTTTTATGTATTTATCCTGACTGTCCAATAAATGCCATTAATTTGTCTTTCTAAGCTAATTGGTCTAAAACAAGATTAATTAATGGTTTGCATATACATCAGGGTTTACATAGGCAGATCAACAAATCTTCAGATTCCGAAATCATATTGAATTTTAAATAGATAACTTTTGGTTTTGTGTTTTGGAGATTTGTTACTATTATAATTTTATGATTTTGTTGTTTCATTAAAATGTGAGCCCGTAATACGTTCCAACCACTGAATTTGGGTATTTAACGTTTTGTGGTTCATGAAAACACAAATCAGTGATATTTTGTGACTATATAGTACGAGATACTTATTTTAAAAGTTGATCTTGCAGTCACTTTCGAATATTTAGTTTTTGTATCACTTTATTCCATATATTTTGTAAACCTTACCATTTCCAGAAAGATTCACCACACTTCAGAATGCTCTACTTTTAAAACTTGTCCCTTTTGACATTTTTTCTAAAGTGTAATTAAAAACACCACCCCCTGAATGACACTCCGTTTCCATCACATTTCTTTACAACCAGTTGAGTAGTCTTACCGTTTGATCCCATCAAAGTGTAATTATTCACCATAAATGCGTAGCTGTTTTTAATCGTATCGTCCTTTAACATCATAACATGACAGAAAGATCTCAAGTAGTAGGAATTGTAATCATTCACGTTTGTTCTAGTTGTTGTGTTGGGTAAGTTTGGACAAAAATCATGTCAGACTGTTGGTGCTGTCGGCATGAATTTTAAGAAGCCTCCTACTATCTCAGATCGAAAATTATTACCGCTTCGAGAACATTAATTTTTTTAACCAGCTCTTGTTTTCTTCCCATTTTTATTCAGCTGTTTTATGAACTTACTTGGCTCTTGAGAATACTTAACCCTAGCGTTGCTGTAGCTGGTTCTTTGTGAGCAGTTAGTCTCAGTATGTAAATGGTTTCCAGTAACTTATATTGGAGGTTCTTGTAGTCTTACTAGTGTATATCCCTGTTACTAGGATTTAATAGCGGCTACTGATGTAACTAACTCGATGTCAGATTTCATTAAGTTTATAAGGATTATTAAGTATTCCATACACAAATAAAGAGGCCAATTATTTTATCCCTGCTGACAGACAGTTTGGAAATCTCTATCTTAAAAGGAGTTTAATAGCATGCGTGCTAATACTACTTAGTCGTGGTCATGTTTACAGGTTTGTTATCTCTTCAGACTTTTTATTTGGTCGTACAGTCCAAAGCAGATCTGTATTAGCTTAATCTTTATATGGCTTCGACATGTATTACATATACCATACTGACGTCTACCTTCACCCACAATGATTGTTATAGTAGGTGTAGACTAGTAGAAATCTAGAGGTGGAAAGAAGAAGTGACATCACATCACTGACTGTTAAACTGAGCATACTGATAAGTCCATGTTACCTGGTTATCTTCCATTTAATAACCCCAACCAGTAGTTGGAGACTGGATGACACAACTCAAAATCGTTCACGCTGGTTCAAGTGTCCTCCCTCCTTATTACTTCCAGTTTCTTGGGAACCAACTCTCGTCATCCAGACAAAGATTTGTTTTTAATTCAGGAGTTGATTAGTTTATTGTCATTCAGTCAGTCAGCAACTACGTAGAACATGCTATGTACGTTCATCACTTCAAGTTGCAGCACCGCATTAGCACAAATCCCATAGTACTAGAGGTAGTAAAAGTGTTAGCAGTAATAGGGATTAAGGTTCAAATCCGTTGTTTTAGCCATTTATAGTGGTTTACGTTTAATATTTGAACTTCGCTCAATAAAAATAACATGGGTTAGAAACCGTAGAGAATATTCCAAAATAAGCCGTGCTGACACGGAATCATTTCAGCAGCCGTGAATATCGTACTAAGTTTCGTCCCCAGATTCCACTTTTTTTCTTTTTTTCTGGTAATTTATCACAACTGCCATTATTACTTTCTTTGATTTGTCTTTTCTTATTGATATCAATTATGATAGCTACTCATATCGGATAGTAATCCGTAAGTTGTCCGAATTTTATTGCCTCGTTTGGTGAATCAGCCTTCACCGTTCACAGAGGACGAGGCAGTCTGATCGATGTGGCTAGGGCAGCAGATCGGCTGAGCTGTTCCTTGAAAAACTGTCTATTGCCTAAGACAAGTGGATATTATTGATTGGTGTCCTATCATCTTCACAGACTGTTTCTATCACACCAGACTTCTTGCTACCAGTCACTTGGATGAGTTTCTTGCAGTTACCAGTCCAGATTAGTTCTATGAAAGGAGCGTTGGTCTCGTACACAATCACACCAGCTGTAGCTGATCTCGATGTGATCAATTCGATTTCAGGCTTGGGCTTCAGAAGGAGGATGTCAGGTAGCGTGTGTCGATACTTAGTGGTAGCTAAAAACAGGTTGTAGTCTGTGAAAAGTTGCAGTAGATGATCGCCATCATCCGACCTGCGACCAATAAGTCTTCATTGACCACCTAGATCCTCTGTGCTTAGACTCCAGACCTGTGCACTCACGTCTGTGGCTAGTTCCGAGATATCTGTCAAATGTACTGGCTAGAGAAGATCACGTATCTGATGGTGGAACTCACTCTCGATTGCATTGGAGCTGCAATATGTTGCGGCGTAGGCGGATATATATATATATATATATATATATATATATACGATAATGCCCGGGTTTCCGAACCGAAGCAGGCGGTTTTCTTTGGGGGCCACTCCCTAAGCCTTTTACCGACAGGCTTATTTCACAATGCAGTGAAGCAGTTGCAGTCCGGTGACCAACAACAGCTTCATGCGCTATTCATTCCATTACGATCCTGGAACTCATGTGCATCGCTAGTTTGGAATCAAGGTTTCTCAACTCCTTTAAGTGGGTCCTCCGTTTTCACCAACCCGGTTAAAGCATCGGAAATTCGCTCGTCATCCTCTCAACTTTGTTATCAATCTGGCATGGGAAGGCGGTCAGTAGGAATTCCCTGACAGCAGTTGTATATTTTTGGCCAGTGAGACTACTTCGAGAGGGAGAGCAGGTTATCATCAATCTCGTCCGTCCCGTGCTGTCTTGCTCTAAAGCTGTAGATGATTGGGAACAGATTTTTTATTTGTTACGTGTAAAAAATAAAGTAAGAACAACACGACATTGTGAATAAACGTACTTAAAGAAAATGAGGGACCTATATCTTTATAACAGACCAGTTGGAACTTTCAGCTATCACGAAATTTATTTTCAGAGCTTCCTGTCGATTGCCTACAAACCCATGTATCAATGTACATGAAAGTATTTTCTTCAGAAAAAAACCGTGTGTAATTATTTTGGTTATCCTGTGATCTATATCCATACTTAGTTTGTGCTGTTTCAAAAAATCCTTAATGATGATACCTATGCTTAATTATCTTGTGAAGCTATAGGTTTTGAAATGAAATGAACACTTGTTGATATAATTAAGCACTTTATAAAACCATATTATCAGTCACATGTATTATTTCTCATCTTGCTTATATGTACCCATTCTTTTTTAAATCTTATCATATTTAGACATGAGATCACATGTACACCAAACTGTTTTACCAGTGGTTATAAAAGCTGATCACCCAATTCCAGTCTCATGTAGTGTTTATTATTTCGAGATAACGGTTAATGTTAAAAGTCGGTCTGGGTGAGTACATTTTACATTCATTACTTGTTTAATATAAATATTTCTTCAATCAGAATTATTTTTGATGGTAAAAAGCGTAAAGCCTTATCCAACTTAATTTGTTTGTTGCATATAATTGTAACACAACAAGTGTCAATATTCTCACAGTTAAGCAAACCAACCATTTATACATTTCAAGTTATATTTTATATCTGTTAGAAATAATATATTAGAGAAATTACTTATTTTGTATCTAATTTTCATCAGCAATCAATTAAGCAATTGATCGAACGAGTAGTATAATTTTGCTAATTCTTTTTGTTCGTCTCTCGCATAACTGAATATTTCGTTTGGACTTTGATAAGCTCATTATATGATGTTACTTCTAGTGGTTTACTAAGTTTAACTCACCAAGTGCATGGTAATGTACTTAACCACACGTTTCTGTGTAAGGGCTAGCGGTACTGGTAAGTTATCCGAGTTGAAGATGAGTTAGTGAAATAAAAAACCTTTAAAAATTATGCGAAATTCAGGAGGAAAACCTGAAAAAACCGTAAACTGGATTGAGGAAAGGTGTATGCAGTGGTTGGCGACGAAAGCAAATGAGTTGTAAAAGACAGTCTCATTAGGTGACTAGTCAATTGTTCGAATTCACCGAAGGAATTGCGATTATAAAGTGGTTAGTAGCATTCTCTCAGCAAAAGAACGGTGGTTCATTCTCGTACAACAAGCCTAGACAATCTTTCGTAAATACTATCCCACTGATTTTATTAACTGAGAATAATCTCATAAGCTGCATGTCTAATTGAAAGCTGGAATATTTCCTGTAGCTGTTGTTACTTGAGTCTCTAGACTAAACTGAAAAACTAGTGATTGTCTGGCTGTGTATGACTTGCGGTTAAAATTAATCGTTACGTAATGTCAGATAGTCCTTATACCATTCTTTTGAGCGATGGCTTAGTTATTAAGGCGCTCAACTTTCAACCATCATGTCATAAGTTGAAACTGCGCTCCAACTATTTTGACTCAGGCAACCGGATAATATCATTAACTCTCACAGTTAGAGTGTGGCTCATACTCAAATATGTAATGAGTGAGTTAATTGATTTCAATCTTGTTGAATAATTAGTCATCACTTTGCCTCAATCATTGTCAACTTCCAGCCTAACATTTAAACTTAGTGTTATTTCATTATTTTAATAATTGCGCCATTTTTTCGTTGCACTATATTCACCAGAATCTATATTTATGTAAAATGTTTACTTTTACATACATCCTATTTATTATTATTGTTATTATTATTATTATTTTCAGTATTAGTAATAGTATTGTCATAACCTGTACTCTGTTTACCCTTCCTTTTCATTTTATTATCTTTCTCTCTTAGCTTACTTGCTTTGGGTGTATGTTCATCACGTTCATCTACAAATGAATGGCCAGGTAAATTATTGATCCATTGATCTCATTCTCTGTTTCCATCAGTTTATCTCCTTTTCACTATATTGATTTCTACTTAATTTTTAGTCATTGTTTTGATATAAGGGTAAGGAAATGCGAACAGTATCATCGTGACCACTGAGTCTATTAATTTTTTATAGTCGATCACTATGAGTGGAGTGGGGATAATAAAGTAACAGTCAAACAAACGTGCTTTGTTCTCTCGTTTGATTGTCTAGTTTTATTAAGTGTGGTGACTAAGAACATTTTCTTACTAAGTATGATATTGCTTCATAGTGGGAAAAAGAGATGAGTTAAGCAAGTATAAGCATAGTAAGAGTGGAAGTAAAGGGCGGAATAATAATATGTGATCGATAATTGATTAATGAAACAAGTGTCTAACTGTTCCCAAAAGGTTTAATGTTAAATCAGAAGTGCAAATGTTTTTTTTTCGTTCGTAAAAAATGGTATACTTTTACGCTTTCTTTACAGTAGTAACGATAATAATAACAATATTGATAATAATCCATTCATGATATATTTGCCTCAATCTGAGTCATTTCAGCTCAGTACAATTGATTGTTGAATAGTTCTGTTGCTTGAACAATAGTCGTTCCTTGTGTAATGTTTGAACTGTGGACTAATGGCGATCAAAGATTTTTTAGTTATTAGCTAAGATTTAATTTTGTATGCTACGATGAGATGTGGCATTGTCGTTTTTCAAAAAAATTTATTGGTTGTTGAGTTCGCAAACAAATGATCATCAGTGTCGCACCATCCAACTTAGTTGATTCTCAATGTAGGCCTATGTCATATCCTGAATTGTCAGTCATTAGCATTAATACCATCGGATTTTAGCTGGATAAATGGAGGAGTCTTATGACTTTGACGCTAAGTACAACACAGAAGCTGTTGTAGGAAGATGTCGATATCACTGGGTTTTAGTAACAAACATACATGGAGAATTCTTTTCGAAGTGAAATATGGACAATAAGTTCTCCGTATGTCACTGAAATCTCAAATACTAGTAGTCTATGTGATCCAGCAAACATCTTTAGGGCCTTCGGTAGACCTATCTCCTGTCCGAGTAACTTCTAGGAGCAAATATTGATGGTAGAAAGTTTAGATGGCACGTGTGCTTTCAGCAATGGATTTGTGAGACTTCACACTGAGTGACAACTCTTTGAGAACAATAAATTATGGGCATAAAACTGTATATACTGCCAAACTTTCAACAGAAACAATCCAATTATTTACGATGTGAATAAATAACATGAGAATAGTGAAATGTCACGGAGATGATCTTATGCTTATTATTACATTTTTATTTGTGAAGAAATAATTATCAATCGAGTCAATCATGTTTTCCTCACTGGGTTATCATGATCTGTATGATGCTACTGGCATGCTTGAACTATAGAGGATAATTTCTGTAAGAAATCACCTCTAAACCATTCTGTGCCGTCTGGTGACGATAGTTAGTTTTCCTTTTGTTTACTCTCTCAGATCCCCGGATTTAAATCATCTCTAACCACCAATACAATTTAGTCAGTCAGTACACAACATCGTAGAACTTCGAATGAACATGCGTACATCAGTTCAAGTTGCCATACCACATTAACACAGAGATACAATTGTCAATTCAAATCCCATAGTGATAGATGTAGTAGAAGTATTAGCAGTAATCGGAAAGATTAGGGTTCGAAGATATTAATCAATAAGAATAATCCGGTGAAATGATTTTAAAAAGGGAGAAAAGTCACGAGGAGTTCAGAAGATTCGTATTTGAGAGAAGCCAATGAATGAATGCATCTGCACCATTGCAAGCGATCTTGAGCCATGTCATTCTAAGTCACTAGCCATCAGTTTTTGCTGACTTCAACCAGGTAGTCTATACGTACTAGCAAATTTCAGTCCATTTGTCAATGACTTGATGGATTTGTGCCATGTTTTGGTTTGGCAAACCCTATCTCTCTTCCAGCCTAATTCTACATCAGACAACATCGCTCTTGTAGGTAGTCGGTGGTTGAGCTTTCATGACACATGTTCCAACCATCTCAACTAATAAAGATTCACTACTTCCCCAATTGATCTGCCATCCTTACCTGATACTCGTTTTCGAACACCGGCATTGCTTATTCCATGGTCCAAGGATATACGAGCAGTGCTTCGAAGACATCTTTGGTCGAATACTGGTAACCCTCGAATATTCTCGAATCTTTCGGCCATGTTTCATACCCTTTGGTTCGCAGACGGATATCTCGCTTACTCCATGAGTGATGCAAGTTGGTAAAAGCCAATCGAACCTTCTGTATCCGTGCTGAGATTTCGTCACACACCAGGCCATTAGCACTGATGAGACTACCGAGATAAGTGAAGCGATCGACATGCTCAACTACATCACTCCCTATCACTAAATCAGGTGCCGACGCAAGCCAACCCTGAAGCAACGTTTTGCATTTGGAGGTGGAGATTCGCATCCCGAACATGCTTGCATTGTTGCTTTAGGTGCTCAGAAGACTCTGCTGCCCACACCATGGAAGGTTGTTCCTTGAGGAACCTGAAAAGTAAAGCAGGTTAGCGTTGATTCGATTGACTTGAGAGCGTGATTGCAAAGCCCAAGGGACAACTATTTGAGGCTGGTCACGCACGGCCTGCTTATGGGAAGTTGACATGTTAGCTACACCTTTTGAAAGGACTTGATCGCTGGAAACGGAAGTCCGTGCAACAGGATGAGGTGTGACACTTTTAGGGTCGACCTTTTATTACCCCTTCCTTCTGTTGTGACAACGCTGGTCATCTGAGACAAACACCTTACTGCAGTTACACCTCCCTACAGTCATCTGTGCGACTTCTCCCTCAGACCTTAAGCTTCTGCTTCAAGTTTCACCGTTCTGCAGTCGACCTGCGTGTTTATGGTAGGACCTAACGGACCATCTATCACTGCCGATTTAGCTCGGTTGGGTCATTACGATCGGCGGGCCCAACCACCACGTCAAGGTAATATTATTTGAATCGTTCTTAGTGCATTTTAAGGACTAAATGTCTATCCTAAGTATTGTTAAAACGCTACCACCACTTGTCTAGACAATTAGTCATATTTCCTCGGGTTACGGATTCATAACACTGTTCTACACCAGCATTTTCAGCAACAACGGGCTCTCTTTTATCAACTATACTGTGGTTTTATAAAATGGCTTATATTCTGTGGATACGATTTTTATTATATCTGTATCTTTTCACCACATGTACTCGGCATATCGTATTGACAATTGTTCAGTCATGTAGTGGTGGTCGATATTATGTTTACTTCTAATTCTTCATTGGTTATCAAATTACAATCTCGCTACCAATTTAAGTGGCTTTATCTTGAGTGCATTATGTTTCTCTATCAAGTTGTTCGAGGTAGGTAGTCAACATAAAACCCTGAACCTATATTCGTTGTAATATGTTACTCGTTTACAAGGTTTATTCGCAACTTCGATGAGGATGATACTCACTTTGGCTTTTTAACGCACGTCACTTACCTTCATAATCTGAGATACTATGTGAATATATCAGTTAATTTTTGTTCATTAACAAGGAGGAATACAATAACTTTTTGTCTGTTTTTCTGTCTTTCTATTATAATAACTCATCAACTAAACAAACAATAATAACTACCATAGGCATGGAGTTTACATCGTATGGTTACCACAGTAATAGTGGGACAATTTATCACAATTCCAAAGAACTACCCATTTCTGCGCCTCGTTTCGGTGAATCCGACATAATTGGTTGCGGTGTGAATTTTGTTAATAATTCTGTTTTTTTCACTAAAAATGGTGTATTTATTGGACCAATTAGTGCAGGTAAAAAGTTGGTAAGTTTGAGGTTTTATGAAAATATGAATTCTCCATGATAGTAGTTTCCTATTTATGAGATTGAACTTCATAATGTAGATGAATGTAGGTTACTCTGAATATATTTTTTCGAAAAAAAACAATAACTGGTCTACCAAACTGAAAGATACATTCATAGTATCTTTCTCTAAGTCTTTATCGTATTAGTAGTGAATGTCTATTCATCTCATTGTTCTAGCCAGTTAAGGCCATTCGTAAACTGATAAATAAGTTAGTTTTCTGTACATAAATGAACCTTGAAGCGAAGCTTTTATTCTTCCTCTGCCCTTTTTCTTCACCATTGGGTTTAAGTGTGAGAGTGGTGTTGGGATACGGAAAACAGTTAGGACGTCAGTAACAAGCGTTCGGGTAGCGAAAATATCAGTAACTACTTATTTTCCTTTTTGCCTATGTCGTTGAAGTGTTTTTGACTTTCAACACCGACGTACCAATTTTCAAACTGTCAATACAGTGTATCAGGACTACACCACCTAGTAATAAAAATATCAATAAGTTGGTTAGTTTTACGAATTCATTCGTTTAAAACCAAACAGCAATTGACATCTACTCTTCACTGTGTAGGGGGATTTTTCATAAGTGCATATCAGAAATCCCACAAATGATCAAACTTAGCATCTTCAGGAAGCAATATAAATTAATAATGATCTTGTGCATATCAGTGACTAGTTTTAAAATGGAGTTTTGAAAAACTCAGTTTTATAGAATGTGACCCTTCGAAATTTACATACCAGTGGGCTTGGAAGATGGTCAGGATATATCTAATTAAGAAACGTTGGAAATTACGCCGAATGATGGTCCTGTTCTCAACCTTCTGTTGATGTCACAAACACCGGTGATTTCAGTTCGTGTTGACTTTATTTTAATTTTGAAGTTAGATTCTGAAAACAGATCATTTATCTAATCATCTTAGTCATTTTATTATTTTTATCAATCAGTTACACTGTCATAACATAACTGTTTGATGATATATTTGATAGTAGTAGATTAAGAGGCAACAGTTACAAAGTCATATTAATATTGGAAGTTGATTACTTCACTCTTCGTTCATACTAACATGCCATATTTCTTTCGGAATTAGTTATTATATCTGTATAGTCTCATCTATAGTGACAGTAATGTGTTTTATTATGGTTACACTGTACTGAAAATCATTTGCTCGTTACAGTAGACTTTAAATTGACTAATTTCGGTTTTATTTTACATATGACATTTCTACTAGTCGAACAGCTAATGTTCACCCAATAATATGTATTAAGACAGTATTATCTTATAAGTTCAAAGTAATCAAGAAGACGACCTTGATTCTGATCGATTCACTTTTTTTGATGTAGTATAGTTTTGTGCCTCATTGGATGATATATATATATATTTATACGTATATATATATATATATATATATATATATATATATATATCAAATTTAATTGGAAATCGTTTTTGAACGAAGTAGAAATAAGACATGTGATGTTTGCTTCATCATGAATTATCTAATATTGATCATTTTTTATGAACCAATTCAATGTTGTGTAAATTGAATAAAACTCAAATTTATATAGACAAAGCTATAAGCTAATTAACTATCACTAGTCAAAATACCAACTAACTGACGAAATGACAGTCAATTAAGACTAAATCTCTCTCCTTCAACTAGCTCTATATATATATACAATTTATTGTTTTAATTATATCACTAACACATCGCACTTTGTCTTTTATTCAGCCACATCCAGTCTATCCTTGTGTTGCTTTCGCTTGTCCTAATTGTCATGTGAGCGTCAATTTCGGTCACCATAAATTTGCATATAACATTGGCCAGTATATTGCTCGTGAACGTGCTGTAGCAATAAGTACAGCAGTTGATCGTAAATGTAATGATCAGTTAGCCTATGTGACAATGAGAAAGTAAGTTTTTATTTGATTGTGCTTTTTATCTATCTGTCTATGGATATATATATCGCTACTCCAATTTTCATCAGTATTATGCTATTCTCTATTTATTGCTAATGACAAAACACTAAAATAAACATATTCTAGGTGTTTTAGTGTTGTTTGGTGTTAGCGTTTCATGTTTGCGTTATTTTAAATATTTTTTCTTCGAGATGGAGAGAAGAAGAGTGGTTTGGTTCTCTTTAAATAAATACTTAAATAAGTAATTGATTGAAGACTATTTTTCCATTTGATGTTAGTTCATAATGAAAAATCTCATTCTGAGAAAATATATCTAATTATATTATTTTTTCAACCGAATAATACAAATATTGATTTCTTTCTTTTGTGGTATATATCACTGAGTTAGTATGGATGCGAAACATGGCCGGTAAGAGTAGAAGATATTCGTAGGTTTTCCAAAGCATTACTCGTGTATCCTGGCACAACCAAGTAAGCAATGCTATCGTTTAGGAAACGGGTCCTAGACAAGGGTGGCAGATCATTTGATGAAGTAGTAGATCTTCATTAGTTGAGGTGGTTGGGACATGTGTTACGTTTGCCTAACCACCGACTACCTCGTCGAGCTATGCTTTGCGATGTAGGAATAGGTTAGAAGAAAACTAGGGGCAACCAAACCAAAACATGGCAGAAATCCTTGAAGTTACTGACAACTGGACTGAACCATGTTGGTAGTTGTCGAATACCTGGTTGGGACCCACGAGATGATAGTAATAGATGGTTAGAGACCCTGAATGACATGACTCACAACCGTTTGTAATGGTGCAGGTGCATTCATTCTTTGTGTTCCCTTAAATCCTGAACTTCCTAATTCCTCATCGCATTATCTTTTTCTCTTTAAGTTTATTTCACTACATTCTACTTCTTGAATAATATCGTCGAACCCTAAAATTTCCAATTACTGCTAATACTTCTATTACCTCTACTACTATGGGATTGGACTGACAATTGCATCCTGGTACTAATGTGATATGGCAAGGTGAACTAATGTACGTACGTACGAAGTTCTACGTTGTTGTTGACTGACTGACTGGCTGGTATCCAATTGTTTACATTTCTAATTTCAATCCATTCATGATAGTGCGTAAGCTATCTTCCAATCACATTGGTCGATAGCCATGTCGTTGTTGATATGGTAGGACTTCATTGATCATGACTTCCTACTAAAACTGTAGAGATCCACAACGTAAAATTTGGTTCTTATAAATTTATCTTACATACTACACCTAACTTAAATATCCATTACTTTGGATTGCTACACTTCATACTAGCACAACAAGCGTGTTAATAAGTTATGAAGCTGAAGATAAGAATTCATATTTGAATTGAAGATATAATTATGAGAAATACATCTCCCTTACACCATGAACTTTATGCTTTTGGTCTTATCCTTAGTGACCTGTTTGGAACCAGAAAGATGTACATTACTGTTTTTTTCCTAGTGCCAGTTTCTACCATAAACATGACTGCGAATAAACATGCTTCTTGTACAAAGTTACAATTTCGTAACTAGAACTTTCAATTCAACAAAATGATTAAATAATTTTTGGTGATTTGTCGAACGGCAGAATGAATTATCCAGACTATGTGGCAATATAAATTAAAATATAGAAAATGTTTTATTTCATCCATCGACAGCCTATAATGTTGATTTCAATATAACCATTTTTCTATCAGTTATAATCTTGAACAAATTGTTTATGTAGTATCCAATCATGGGAATAACTACGAGTAGTTCAAAACAACAATTATAACCTAATAGGATTGATAAACTTGATTGTCAATTGTGAAATCACTATGCTTGAATCCACTTGATTTCATTTTGGAAAATTTCTTAAGCGCATACACTAGTAATATCACATCATATAACTATTGGAATTGAATTTGACACTACAGTATTATGCGTCTTATTCGCAAATTTTTATTGATCTGTCTAATGCTGAAGATTGATTGTGATCAATTTGTAAGCCTAGTCAAAGTTTTTTTCTAATATTATTTTCATACACACTCGTCATGTGCTTATTTATGTTACTATTGCCTCCTGGAGTAAATATTTACAAGGCTGTCGTGTAACATATGAGAATACATAATGTCATAACATTAATTATTTTTTTAGTATAGGATCAAGCGAATTTTTCGTTTTGTTCCTTTTAAGTATGTCGATTAGTTCCAGGTTACATTGTTATATTGTTATTAATAATAGTTTTGCAGAAATTTATCCGACTAATATCATGAAAGTCTGTTATATAAAGAAATGTTTTGTTCATAATTCAGTATATTAGTTCCTTGTTGATTTTCGAATGTTTTTATATACAATATAGTAATTTTTCCTTGTCACTTATAGGTATATATTCGTTTTCGAGTTAGCTTACGGAAAAATCAAAGTGTACTTTCTTCATTATTGAGTATCTTTCGATTGCAAAATACTTTTAATACAAATTGTCGAAGCGCTGTATGTAGTATGATGGCAATCGTCATAGTTTATCAGACCAAATTACAGTAACATAATTCCATTTGTGGTAAACAACTAAGTGAATAATACCAGTGCCCAAGATTATACACCATACAGAAATATATGTAACGATAAAGAAGAATGCATTAATGATATTGTCTAGAAAAGAGATGAAATCTGAACGATTAAATTGTCCAACTCAGAGAATTCAACAACAACAACAACAGCGTATACATATGAATGCAAGGCGGCCATGATACTACTTTGTTATCTAGTTCTAGCGATTCAATTGCTGGTATTCATTTTCTCAAGCTTATAAATACAATCACAATTAATAAACTAGAAATTAAGTCATCAGACCGTGAACATCATTCTTTTAGTCGGTCTTGTCTTCGAAGCATTGCTCGTATACCGTGGGACAACCGAGTAAGCAATGCTGTCGTTAGGAAACGAGTACTAGGCAAGGATGGCAGATCAATCGATGAAGTGGTGAAACTTCATCAGTTGAGGTGGTTGGGACATATCTTGCGTATGCCGAACCACCGACTGCCTCGACGAACTTTGTTTTTTGTACTGTAGGAGTAGGTTGGAAGAAAGTTAGGGGCGGCCAGACCAAAACATGGCAGAAATCCATGAAGTCATTGACTAGTGGACTGAGCCATATCGGTAATTGTCGACTACCTGGTTGGGGTCCGCGAGATGATAATAATCGATGGTTAGAGACCTTGATTGACATGGCTCAAAATCGTTCGCAATGGCGCCGGTGCATTTATTGCTTGTGTTCTCTCAAATCCTAATCTTCTGGATTCTTCAACACCTCTAGTTTCGACTCTCTAAACTTTTCTCACTGAATCATACTTCTTGAATAGTATCTTCTAACCCTAACCTCCGATTACTTCTAATTCCCTTACTACCTCTACTACTATTGGATTTGAATTGACAATTATATCTCTGTGCTAATAATGTGGTATGGCAACATGAACTGATGTACTTACGTACCAAGTTCTACGTTGCATCTGACTGACTGACTGACTTGTCTAGAGTATTCAACTTCCACTCGTTATAGAAAATCTTTCTTATTTATAAATTTGAATAAAGAAAGAATAAATATCGTAGCAGATTAACATGAATTTGTTTATTTCACGAATTCTTTTCAACTGCTTACAAGCTATTATTATTAATCATCAAATCAAAATAAGTGTACATGCACTGTATCGGAAATATCTAGAATAACCTGAATTAAAATGTGGAGTGAGAATTAAGAGACCGTAATACAGAAGATTGGAGGTAATGAACCTGTGTACCTTATTTTGATTGAAACAGCTAGCAAAAGAATTTTCAACTCTAATATACAATAATTTCTATAACATAAATCTAAATTATAGGTCACTTACTTGCATTAAATTAAACTAAATCTGCCACCGATCAATAACTTTTCCTGTTTGTAGTATTCTCTTTCAAATATAATCTTACTTTTGATATAAGTTAATTGAATGAACTCATACAAAAAAAGTTTGATCAATTTCAGTTGGGTACACTTTTTTTTGGTGAATGTAAATAATGTTCGCTGGATATGGGAAAGTTTGGCTAGAGATAAACTCGATGGGATTGCATTCCGTTTTAATTTCAAAGCTTCATATATATCCTCAAGTATGGACTGACTGATGATTGTTTACTATGGACTTCGTTTCGTAATGTTTTTTAACACCAGTATGAATAAAGGATTCTTTTCTATGAACTAGTTCTCTCAATTCACTGAATGTTATTATTGCTAGTTAAATACATTTGTCAAGCTTTTAGTTCGTTACCCCTGTCTTATTCTGTATTCATTTCAAAGTAATTCTGAGACATAATTAGAGTGAGAATTTTCTTGACTCCATAGTCACAAGCTCTGTTCCTGATTTTTCTGTATGATTGTTATGTTGTACGGCTCCTCTGTATACATCATCGTTTTTAGGCAATCTGTTTTTATATATTTTAATGCATTATAGTTTTATTTGAAGTCATGATACCTGGAAGCACTGGATAACTGTTTCGTCCTGATGTGGGACTTATCATCAGTGCTCATCCGTTGATCGATTCATGACTTCATTGAAGCTCAACAATCTCCACAACCCTATAGTAATAATAATAATTAACGTTTTTTTATGTTTTCGGTGTACTACGTTGTTATGTGTCTAGTGGTGATTAAAATTTAGAACCATTTAATCAATGCTTTCTCAAATACACTTACTTTTTGTTTTGAAATCATTCCGGATATGGCGATTTGAATGAAATGGTTATTTTAACATAAAAATTTCAAATTTTTTTGTTTTTGCAGCGACAATTAAAAAAAAAATTAAATAGCTTCAACAGATAAAACAGTGATAATAATAAATTTTTATGAGTAATTTTGTTGCCTTTTATGATTGATGTCTTCACTCTGCGGTTAATGGTTATGCTTGCGTGATTTAGCAGTGATTCTTTTATTGGTTACAATGTCGATTGACATTTTTTTTCGAAGTAAACACTTAATTTATAATCATGCTTTTACTTTATTTTATGTGTTGTAATGCTACACATTTATTAATAATCTAAACTTGAATTTTGAATTAAACTCGTAGAAAGATTGAGCTATTGAAACTCAGTCTGAATGCATTATTTGTATGCCTAGATTATCATAAGTACAATGAATCAGGTTCTGAGTGTGTGTTGGCTAAAAATGAATAGATTGTATTTTGCATATCGATCTACTGTGTTGATTAAAATATGCTAATAGTAAGTGGTGTAAGCAGTGGTAGGCTAGTAGTATAAAGTATTCTAAACTGTCCTAATGTATTTTTTTTTACCAGGCTTTACCTCACTTCATTTCTTCGTCTGTTGGCTGGCCTACTTTTGATTCAGTATATGAGTAGATTTTACATGAAATAAGTCTTAGTGATGAATCCAAACCGTTATACTAAAATACAAAGTTTTAATGCATTACGAAATCCCTTATTAATTAATTTCTGCTTATGTTTTTCATAAAATATTGTGGGAAATGCTTATGACAATAATTAAATAAAGCAGTTAATTTGTTTTTGTCATATTTCTCTGAGGCGTCAGATGTGTTCTGTAATCAATATTTAGTTATTACGTTAGATTAACGTTAACAATAGTGTCTGGACTTTTTTTTGATTCATAATCACTATTTAGAACTTGCTAAAATGAACTTGATAACTAATGTTAATATTTACACGTCATAGTTTTTGATTGATCGCTTAAATTATTTCAACATTCAATCACTGGATCAATAGGTTTGTACAATCAACGGATATCTTAAACTCTAACAATTTAAGCATAACATATACTCTGTTACATAATTTGCCGTTAAATCACTAAATTACTTCACACGTACCTTCAACTAATTTTTTTTCAAAAATTCGTTTTAATGCCATGCTTAGAGGCAATTAGTAAGAGGTTTTGTACTTATGCTAGGTGGAACTCCTTACGAAAGCGTATCAACAATTCTGAGGGAAGTGATACAATTCATAGTATCTAAACGTATGTCAGCTTATTTCACTGTCACAGACCTCACCTTGGAACTATGACCATCATTTTTTTTAGCCTCTTTTAAAATGGAAATGTTTACGTCAATTGCTTAGCAATTAACCAGTTATATATTGTCTGTTCCTCTTAGTGGTAATCAAATTCGGTCGATTTCACTGAAATCATCAGTTCCTCCAAGATTGCAGGTAATTCTTACTGATAAATGTCAGCTATCAAAAGAACCTAAAAGTATTCCGCTTCCTACTGATAGCATTCAATTATCTTACATAGTGCTTGCTCTAAAATATCCAAACATTCAGACTAATAGTCACTTTTCTCAACTTGATCTATAGTATGTAGTGAACACTAAGAATGAAATATAATATTGTTTACCAGTAAATGATCAACTTGTATTGAATATAGTGAGTCCTTATAAACTTAATTGAACTTTTACCTTGTCACATATAGGTCACTGTCATTAGTTCAGTTCAGAACAATTTGTCACAATATCGATTCATTCAGTTTAGAATATTTCTTTATGAATATTAACAATGATTATCATATCATGGGTTGTTCAATAAATTTTTTTTCTCATTTACACCAGTGTTACCAAATAATAATATGCCTGTCAGTTGTGTAGATTATATCACATGTAATAAACATGATATTTTATCATATTTTTAAGCAACCTATAAAGTAAGGCAAGCACACACGCGATTGAATTATTTCTGTTCCATCAATGATTATTATTATTATTATTATTATTCGGTCTTGTTTTTCCTATAGTCATTTGTTATATCGTAAACACTTTGATAGTAATTTATGTGACATTAACAACCCTTGATAATGCATATTCTTATCTCTCTTTTCAATTATATTCACTTTGTTTATTGTGTTATTTGTTTTGTGAAATGTAATTACAGCATAGCTAAATTCTAAAATATTATTTTAGTGATTTAATATGAATTTTGGTCAATGGATTTAAGAAATAAAATGCATTTTTCGTCTTGCTTTTTAGGAATTTCTATAATCTAATTTGTAGTTTGCCTAATATTTGAAAACATTACCTTTTAAGTTAATCAGTATTTCACAAGATCCTAAGATGTATACCCATTTCATATTAGGTATTGTGAGTGGGATACTGAGCAAAAAATCATTTATCTGGCTTTCAGTCTTATATAGTATATGGTGACTAATTATTTACTAAACACTTGCTTACAGTAGAATACCTACAGTGATATTCAAACCTACATCTCATTGTAACTTGAGGATTAGGCTTTGTTGGAGTTCAATTTGACTAGTAGTTGAAAATGTCGACCATTTCACTGAGGAGTTTTATTTGTCCTAGCATATCACTGGTTGACAAAATCATGAGATAGTTACGAGAAAAATCTCTTAGCTTTTCCCACTTTATACGATATCTCTTTGGACATCGAAGGACGCTGTATTACTGTTTACTATGTGTTAATTTATTACTGTGAAAATTGAAGACTCCGGTTGTTTCCTAGTATTCAATCTTCTCAAAGCATTGTTTGAGTATAGTACAGTCGTCCACCAATTAATCTTGGGGTTTGCATGTAGTATTTTGGATTGAAACTATTATGAAATTATTAGTCAGAGAAATAGGTTTTTCTTCAATAAGGTAGCATCCTTATATACAAAACGTTAAACACAAAAATAAGCGTTATTAAATATTCCAAGTGATTGAAGGAAGGAATTCGTTTTGGTAGGTCACTTACACCATCATCAACTAGGACGTTTCCTGTCCTATCAGAAATAGTCAATCTATATGCTGATATGTCGGTAAACCTTCATTAACTAAAAAAACTAGTTGATTGATCTATGTTTTGTTGGAATAATAACATTATATCTAAGTAATAAAAATATCACTTATGTATTATTGATAAGTCAATTCTCCTTAGTCCTTTACATAATTCATTTTTAAAAGGTGGAAAAAGTTTCATGCTATAATCTCTTATCAGTGACAGTGATTATTTTTGCATAATTTTCAATTTGCAACCATGATTTCATTGTCAGTGAGATGTTTTCTACATCATTTTTATTAAATTTCGTCATATTATATCCAATGCGATGACAATACATTTCTGTAGTATATGAAGTATTTAGAGTATTATTGATGAAAATACTTGAGTTGTTTTTTTACTAGTTTAATACCAGCTGTTCTTTTTCTTTATAAAACGTTACACGTGATCCAATATTTAGGTGGTCGTTCTAACGTTGGTTACCATACCACCTAATAACAGAGTCGAAATTCAGGGGTTTTTAGCAGTCAAATTTACGTACTGCAGTCCAGGCCATATAATTTGTGTTTGTTTATGTATGAGTAAAACAGCGATACTGTTTTATATTCTACATCTAGTTACATACATGTAGTTTGCGATTGCATTATATCTATATATCTTTTAACTACAATTGTTAATAAAGATGAAAATATAGGTATTTTATTCCACTGCTAACTAAAATCCAACTTTATTATAATGCGTAATTTATTAAGGAACGCAAAATGAATGATATCTATTCTTTACTTGAATTTCAACAGTTTGTGTTCCATCGGTTACAAGAAAGCGTTGGTCGAAACACTACTTTATAGAATAGAAAAGATATGTACCTCTAACATTGAGAAAATGCATAAGAGACAACTTCTACCCACAGAAATTTATTGACAAATCTAAAAAAATTTACAGAAAACAAGTCGGGAACGACTATAGTCAACAAAAAATCAATATTTTTAGATCTCAACTTCAAAAGGGATAATGTTGCAAGCACAGTCAACAGCAAGCTTAACACCTCACTAGGCAGGATCTACCCGACAGAAAAACTGTTAATCCTATGGTTAGTGTTCTTCATCAGTCTAGTAGGGTCGACGAAGCATTAGAAAGAGACTATTGCCGATGACTAGTAGTTTAGCTCAAGGTATAAATTATGTTACCGTATCATTTATTTAAAGTATTTTGTCCACTTGTATCATTTTACTTCACATTCTCCAAATTTCTATTCTTGTTTCTTGTGTCTGTTTTTTTTTTAAATTTTATAGTTTAGTTGCAACCTATCTATTACACAACGGTTTCCTTGAGTCTGCTCAAGCTTTAGGTGAATGGGTTACAAAGGCTTCTATCGATTCGTCTACTACGACCAATGAAAACAATGATAACACTGACTATGGTGTACATCAGAATGATAGCAATAACTATGACACAAATGGTGAGTCACCTGTAAAATTATCGGCATCCGGAACATCGAATGGTGGTTGTCCATCATCCACAGATAAACCTGTGTATCAAATGGATTCAATAGTAGATTCTACGAATGGCACTTGTCATTTAGATACTAATCACAGTGATAATAATCACAATACTACTAACATTGATCATACCAGTAATAATTCCGATGAATTAAATGGTGAACACCGATCGACATTGCCAACAACGATACCATCATCTATGCCAACCAGTCAACAAGATTGGTCGTCAACAAATATAGTCAAATCACCAAAGGATACACTTTTAAATGATTTATTTCGTTGGCCTGAAGCTGTGGATATATTATTAAGACGAAGACATTTAAGAGAGACTATTCGTAATGGCAATTATTTATCTGCATTAAATCAATTGAAGGATTATTTTCAAACCTTATGGGAAAATGATCCATCTATTGCATTTGTATTAAAATGTCATCATTTTATAGATTTAGTAAGTTCTTTATTGTTGTTGTTGTTATTGTTCTTGCTTGTTTCTAATCAGATAATATCTACTGATAAGAAACAATTCAAAATAAGTGCTATTATCTTGCACAAAGTGTGACTATATAAGCGGTGTTATGACCAAACGATCAGAATCAGTGGTAGACATATAATTGAAGAAAGTAATTGAATACACATGGTTTAAGTTTACAGAACTTTCAAATTTTGCATCAATCTACTATCTGATATTAATCAATGCCATGTGATCTTAAGTTCAGTTAGCACTGTTGGCTAAAAACTGCGACATTGTTTCTAGCTGAATGATCAGTCGAATAATAAGCATCTCGGTTCTACATAAGATCGTTCGCTATCCGACTAATTTAGCTATAAAGCAAGTTATTGTTACCAAGTGCCAACTAAGAGGAAACTTATGTCACCAGCTATTTCAATACCTTTGTATGATCTGATACCAATGGTAAATGCTGGATACATTTGCTTCACCATCAATGATATAGAATCACATCACTTAACTTCTGCTTTCACTATTATTTAAGATCATCTTTCATTGTATGGCTCATTGGCCTAGTGTTTAAAGCACTGATCTTCCAAGAAATAGGTCAAAATGTGTGAAAACCGCTCCACGTGTTTGTTCGGGCAATGGGTAGTATCATTACTCGTGCAATGCTCTTGGCTGCTAATCTATAGTGGTGGTCGTCGTGTAGAGGACTTGGGTAATAGATGTATCTCTTAATGTGTGTATATATTCAGCTTTATGATATAATTCAATTTAGTCTTAAAATCCATTTATCTCATTCATTTAAAAACCTACATACATTAACTTAAGTAAGTAATGGAAATCGTTATGACGCATTATATGTGAAAGAGTTTTTGTTATTGTTTGTTAGCTAAAACTCTATCTTCCATTTTAGCTACAGTAAAAAGAAAAAAAAATTTATACGGTAGCTAGAAATGATTTTACTAAAATGCTTAAGTATATAATTTATCTGTCACTGTAAAATACTAAAACCTAGGGTATTAAGTAAATATGGCTGTTGGCTCCTCATTCACTGAGTCGGTTGAGACGTGTATCAGGTATCGCCTACATCGATGCAAAATATTTTCTGTTTTATGAGTAGTTTGAAAGGTAGCTACAGGCGGCAGCTAAAAGACGTCTCAACAGTCTATGAATTTATTGATAATTGTAGGTAAGTGCAGACTACTAGGTTAAAACCCAAACAATTGCCGTAACCAATAGTTAACTGTATTGGATTACATGGCTTAGAAATCGGTCATAATCGTGCAGATGCGTCCACTCTGTCTTTATTAGACTCTGAGTTTCAAAACCATATTTTATACTAGAATCATATTGTCTGTCTAATTTTTACTACTTCTAATACTCTGGTATATTTGTTAACAATTTCATCTTTCAAAGGCACCTATAATCAATCCATGTATATATTATGCTCTAAATTGTTTATCGCTAATTAACTGATTGAGAAATAAATCGATCTACTGAGGTTTTCTGTTATTTGAACCTCTTATGTAGAAAAACGGTATGTCAAGAACACAATGATAAAATGTGCTTCTCAGACCGGAGAAACATGTTTATGATGTACAAGCTTTTTAATCTAAGATCATCAGTTGCTGTTTCTCTCTTTCTCTCTCTTTTACATCACTAATTGATTTCTTGTATCCTGTCACCTTTAGCATCCTTGTTTCTTCTAACATAGCCATATCAATTAAAAGTTATATATATATATATATATATATATATACGTGTATGTTAGTTACTGTGTTGTTGTTGTTGTTTAATGCCTTATTATGTTGTAGGTAAGCGGTATGATGAAATGAAAGTAGATTTTCACCCTTTGCAATCTCTTTTTATTACACATATAATCTACATCACAACCATGTTGCAATTATTTTTTTATTCCTACTATTTTTGTTTTTAATTGACATTAAAATTAACATCATTCTTAATTTATAAACATATCTCTATGTAAATAAACACATGGAATGCATGTTTTTGTATGAGTACCGTTTTATATGTTCTCATCTAATACTCGAAATACTATGCCTAGATGCTGTATCTTCATGTTTACCATTGTTATGGAATTCGGATTTTTCACATTTATGTTGTAAACAAAAACAAAATTTAAGAATGTAATGCTGTGATTGATTGATGTAGTCATGTAATCATACTGTGCGACTGAGTAATAATTGCTCATCATACTGAATTAATTATTAACTTCAAACAGTGAATAAATGTAATAAAATGTAAGAAATTTTCAATACAAAAATAAACATAATGATTAGACATCAACAAAAAGAATAATAACTATTATCAGTTACGGAATAATTCATAGGTCATTAATGAAATTATGACCTCTGACTATCGGAGTTAATTCTTTCCCTGTCGTATCAAATATTTAATTAACTTATACCTTTAAATTGATATTTTTTACACATATCATCCATGTATCAAATCAAAACAAGTGCATATAGACTTTTCTAGTTTAAGTCTTCAGTGTAGTTAGTTAAATTTGAATATATTTGATTGTTATTCGGACACTTGGATCTAGATTTTATCCTATATGGCACCATTTATTTAGTGTTTGGAAAATTCATATTCTTCTTGGAGCCTGAATTTACGTCTGAGATGTCACAGCGAAATTATGTGGTTCGTGACTGACCTTCTGTAGAAGAACGCTTACAGTGTCGTAACGTTCGTTTCCATTTGGTGCAAAATATGCAAACATAGGTGAACTGTATCATCTACGCATTTATTTCATAGCAGATACAGTTTTCCACATAAATTTATCATGTTTCTTACGGAAAGTGTTAAACGTAAGAGTAGTAAATTGTATAGTATTTTCTGTAACAATCTCCAATATTTGTAATGATGTATAATCTAACTCAATAGCTTGTCTCTAAGCCATATATCGTTGTATGTGACGGGCTAGCGATACCATATTGTGCACAGATGTCGAACCTGTGATTTAGCAATGACACAGTTGTGATTTGTTCTCTGTTAGATTAGGCTGTTGCTGATGGTGTCTGACCAACGAATTTGAAGTATCTTACGTAGACAATTTTATAGATACCTGTACTGTCTCGCTAGTGGTTACAGTAACTCTTAAAGTTTCAGCTACAGACAATAAAACTGTCGATGCTTGTATTGGAAATCCGGACTTTGGTGTTGGTTGACAGTTGTTTTGAGTTCTAGATGTTCTTCAATTAGAAAAATGCTGTCTTTACTTTACTAATTCTAGCCCTTACATAAGATCACTCTTATCCATCAATGATGCTGCCCAGGTACGTAGAAGTTTCCGCATTTTCCAGAGTTCCTCCATGTGTGATTTGGTTGGTCAGTGATCTTTGTGCTCTATTTCAGATTTCCTGAAACATTCGTAGTTTGTGATACCCAAAAATAAGTGTTAAAACTAGTCCTTATGGCTTAGTTGTTGTTGTTAATGTGCTGAGTTTTATTTGCTGAAAAGAAATCATCGAAACACTGCTGCACTTTTACGGTTTAATACTTTGAACCAAATTTTTTTCTTTCACCTTGACAAGCAGAAACATTCATGAAATCGTATGAGTTTTTTGGTTTTTTAAAAGTAGACAAAATTACGTGGACTAACTAACATGCTGTTTAATCAATGTGTTGGCTGTTTTATTAACGTGTTTTAAAAACAGTTGCACATGAGATATGTAGATAATTCAGTTAAATATGAATAGGTCAAGGCTGTACTGGATTATAGGACATTTATTTTTTATTTGTAAGTTTCACCTTCATCTATTTATTGGCAATCTACACTTATAGTACATTTGTTATTTTTTTCCAATATCACACTTGTTATAAAAAAAGGCAAGTCATAAAATGTTTTCACAGAATCGATTATATTCGTGTTCTTATTTTAATCGATCTGGGTATGTCAGGCTTTTTCGCTGTGTTAAAGTAAAGGTGGCCATAAAATTATCGATTCAGTGTGTACATTTTATATTCAGTCTTTGATAAGTAATAAATACTTGGAAGTGAAACAGCTTGTTTGTTACTCTTTGAATTGATGAAATTTGTATGTGAATAATGCTTTCATCAGGATGGTATCGAAGAGAATAAAGGTTGAGATGAATATGAAGATATATAGTTCAAGTGAACGGTTTTGATATTGCTGTAGTTTCTGAGCTGAACCTTTTTGTTGTGAAACTTCCATTTTCATTCTGAAGCATATCATCAGCGCCTATTTCATACTGGAGTAAGCTTTTTGATCATCCCGTAGGTCCTAAATTAATTTACTCTGACTATTTGGTTTAGTTAACTTCTAACAATGTGATTGGTTTTACTTTTTAACTGTATGAATAAATTGATTCCAAAACGATATGTGTCGATTAATGATTCGCTTCAATGGATACAGTTAGATACGGATACAAATATAATTGCGAGGATGTCACTATTCTAAGTAAAACATATTCCTAAATTTCCAGGGTTCGTTTAGGAACCCACGATGAAATGTTGAGAAGTTCGAAGTGATAATATTGTCTGAAACGACTACGAAAGTTCATCAACTGAACTATCCAGTTCAGCATATGAAAACACCAAAAAAAAGGAGTAAAGGGAGTTTCTTCCATTTTTACGAAGGATATCAAAGAAAATTCTAACAGAATCGCCGGTAGCTTCTATTCTGAGCCCTGAAGTCACTGAGTTCCGTCATCTCTACAAACCCAACCAAGAAGTTGTGATAAACGGATACATGCTAGTCTTATGCAGTTTCCTTTCACAATATGACACAATTTTATAAACTGACCAATTGTACAATTTTTAACTCCTTCCCAGGGACTCCAATTAAAGCACGATGTGTTCACAACTACCAGCATAAACGTGACTCACTTTATAGTCTGCTTGGCGTAATAATTCATAACATCTGTTGGTTCTTCAACTAGTAGATTTCTCGCCTTACTGGTAGTTGTTTCACATTCTTTCAAAAACCTTGTTAACTAACTGGACAGTATCGATATTACATCTACTACATGATCATTTCTGAGGAATAAATTAGTCATTTAATTTCTTTGTACAGACAGCAGGAGCAACTACTTCCAAATCATATAAATTTATTAACTTTGGTTCCCTTTGGCATTGCTTTCGCAGTGTTGCCGAACTTTCGTTACTAATTTCTTACCATAGACCAGTACTATGAAGAAAATAACAAATAACGATTGTCATCTGTTTATCCATCCTATTTTACAGCTAGCTGATTTACCAGTTTATTAGTAAACAAAACTTTTAGATGAATATTTATGGATTTTTTTTCTTTAGTCATGTGATATATATATATATATATATATATATATATATATATATATATATATACGGGATTCGTGATATGATTGATCATACGACTGGGGAATCTTGTGATGCATATATTTGTCCGTTCTAGTACTTTTCTTCTTTAAATCATATATATATACTTTTTGTAATTTCTGTGTGTTTTCGAGATAACATTTTAATGTTCCATGTTTGTAAGTGTGTGTGAATTTGAGAAATAGACGAAGAAAGAAACAACGATGGGATATCTGATGATTGTCACTACTTTTGTAAATATTTTTTAGTAATCAGTACAAAATCATCGAAATTTATAAATCATCTGATTATGATGATCGTATGAACATCATTGAAAATAGTTTCCTGTTATTTTGTTTTAACTGTTTAGCTTCCTCCATGTTTTTACATTAATTGGGCCATATATTTCTACATGTAAAAATAATTGAACTGTCTAAGTATTACAAACAATTTTGTTCAGTTCTTAGGAGTATGAGATATTAATTGTACACGATATGTACTACCGAGTAAATCTACTCGGAAAAAGTGTCTTACTAATATTAAATGTTCTATAAATAATTATATTTCAAATATCTTAGTCTACATAATTTTTGTTTGTACATTTGATTAGTATTATTTGCACCTGCAGTGAGGTAATAAAACTCGATTTTGTTATACACTAATGTTCATTGTTCAATAGATTGACTGTTAAATTAGAAATTCTTATAAAATTACGAAACTTCTCTATCGATAAAAGTACTTGTATAAACATTAGACTCTCATTTGTGTGTTACGTTCAGTTAAGGGAGAGAAATATTTAAACTCTTCCTAAAAGTTGTTTTTAAATTTATTCAAGTTAATTTTTGTAAAATCCTAAATCTTTAAAACATTATATGCCTGTTTCTTAGTGATACTATAAATGAAATTTGATTTTCCGTTATTAAACATTGGTAAAACTAAACAGCAGCTCGTTAACTGCAGTATTGATTGTTCAAGCAATAATAAATTGTATGTTCCAAACTTCAACTCGATCTACTTTTGTTTAAATACATTAATAACTTAGATATTATACTGAAATTGCTATTGAAACGCTTAATTTTAAAATGTTAAACTTGTTTCCTTTTTTTGATAACTACCAACCTTCAACATGTTTTAAAATTTTAACAACATGATACTACGCAGTAATTTTCTATACAAAATTATAAAATTAAATGTCACATAGTTTTATTTATAAAACAGGTTACTTATTTCTGGTCATTCGGTTAATCTAATTATACATTTATGCATAAAGTACATTTAGATCTTGTGAAACAAATTACGGAAGCCTATAGTAATATTCACATATTTTAAACCTTGAACTATTTATGCATGTGTGTAGGTGTATAATCTAGACACGTTGTTCAATGTCATAATTTTCAGTGAAGATTTCATCTTATCATTATCATACTCTCGTTGTTTATGTTTCATTTCACAAATATATTCCGTTTATTCGCTTATTCATTCAACTTAATAACATTGCCTAAGGTTACACGTTTCACATTTCAATATTCAGTTAATGTGATATTATGACCAGCCCTTTTGACTCATTTCTCCGGTTCATCAAATAGATGAGTATTACGTTTTAAAGTATTATTTTCACTAGATATTTGATTGCACGTCATAACGCTCAGTATGTTATGTTTTTCATTCTACATGTTATAAATACACTACAGTTCGATATGCTCACATCAGACAGTTGTTGATAAATTCAAACGCGTCCATTCAGTTGACCAAACACAACGTAGAACGTGATATATATGTAATATGGTTTGAGTTGCCATATCCTTTTAGCGAAGTGAGATAAAATTGTCTGGCGAAATTCCTAGAGTAGTAAAGGTAGTAACGGCATCAGTGGTGATGGAGAAGATTAGTGAAATAAAGCAATTATGAAGAATTCAGAAGCGTAGAATTCGACGAGAGAAAAACAATGGATGCGCCTGCGCCATTGAAAACAATTTTAAACCATGTCATTCAAAGTTTATGACTACTGATAACAGTTATCACGTAAACTTCAGCCAGATAATCTACACCTATTATCATGACACAATCCAATTGTCAGTGACTTCATGGATTCGTCCCATGTTTTGGTTTTACCGCCTCTAGCTTTCTTCCAACCTACTTCTGCACCGAACAACATCACCAGTCTAGATAGGCAGTGGTCAGAAATGTTGAACATAACACATTACTTAAAAATTGCAAGTGTGACCGGTAATTTCAGTAATGTTTTTAAATTTATTCTAGTTTCGAAAGTTTTTCTCTGATGTAGTTACTTATGGAAAAGATTTTTTTGTTTTCATCATCTGTTTGTTACGAATTGTATTGAACTTCAATGATAACTAAATTGTAGTCACAACTATATCATTACTTTAATTCCATTTTTTACTTCTTCAAAATTATATCACTCAGACATTTTAATCTTTTCACTCAATCATGTATATTTTGATGGCCAATCATTCAATGGGAATTTTTCAAATCTTCAAATTAATCAATTTTGTTCTATGTTATTAGAACAGAAGATTTGTAGCGATCGTTCAATACGAGATCAGTTTTCATCATGAATTAACGTATATTTTAGGAGTGCACATTTATTGTTTCACCTTAAGTTCTATCTAGAATGTTTAGGTTTTGAAGCGAATATAACACTGTTAAGCAGTGAACAATTCTGAAATTAGATTGATATTTTTTGTTTCGTTGTTAATCCTCGATAAAAAATAATTATTGCTTATAATTTACAAGTAGTCCACGGTAATTGCTATTTACGAGTAATTGGAGATTTCTATAAAATGAACAAGAAATCGGGCATCTCTCACACAAAACTACACGTCGACGGTAATAGAAAAGACAAGAAAACTGTATTCCGCTCAGAAATCAAATCCATGAAGAAATCACAATGTGCGATGACCTTGACGCTTAAACAAACCAAACTTGCATTGATAATAGCCAATCAGATGGCAACAAATGTTATTACCAAAATATGGACTGGAAGAATATCTTCGATGTTGTCCTTTGAAGACTCAGCATGTAATAACAGAAGGCTAGATAAGTTGAGCTCTCCACAGCACCATTATAACTTGGTCATCATTTGCAATTTATACAAAAGATTAAAATTCAAAATTCGTCTTTTTTTTAAACAGTTTTCTTTGCTTTTGTTTTGTAGATACGTCAACATTATGCAACTAATTCTTCACAGGCACCTGTATCTTTAAACGGTTTACCTGAAGATAGTAACAATGGTAATACTAGGAAAACATTACAATCTAATGGCTTCGCTACTCATCGAAATAATCAAAAAAGAATGAAACCTTCCAGCTCGTTAGAATCTTCACCTGAAATATCAACAACAACATCAACCACACCTAATGAACACGATTGTCAATGTAAACATTTGATTAATTCTAATCATAATCATTATTCAATCAATTCAGAGAATAAATCTCAAACACCAATTGATACAAATCATTCTGTCATCAATCGATCGTCTTGTTTAACATCAACTACTAATAATTGTAATTCTTCACATAATAGTAGTCCATTAGATTATCAACCACCTGTTAGGCTTCGTTTTAACTTACCAAGTAATGAATGGAGTAATGGATTGTTATCAACAACAACAACAACAGCACCAACAACAAATGATGAATATTGCTCTGAAATTCTACCGTCAGTCTTTCCAAAACATGGTCCTTCTTTTAATGATATTAATCATTCTACTAATGGTACTGCTGTTAGCCTTGATAATAATAATAATGATAATAATAGTAAGAATAATAATGATTCATCAGACATTATTTGTCCTGTTATGTTCCCTGTCTATGCAGAAAACAATCATATCAAGGTAAGATAATTTTATGTTTGCATAGATAAAATGAAAATTTACCATTTATAGAACTATTCATTCATCTTTATCTAGTTTAAATTGTTTAGTTTCTATCTGAATTTTTTTCATTATATTGAATCACGATTGAAACAAGTATATAATTTTCATGATAAAGTCAAAAAACAGTCATGAAATTTTTTTTTAAATGGTTTTTTGTTCATATCACTTTGTGAATGCGTAACGGTGCACGCCTATAAATATGGATTTTAAATGGAAGCTAGAATGATTTTTAGTCTTCATATGATGAATACTGGTTCATTGTTCAAAATCAAGTCGATTGAAATGTCAGTCAGTCAGTTTCAACGTGGAACTTCGTACGTAAGTACATCATTTCAGCTAGCCATACCACATTAGCACAGAGGCGCAATCGTCAATTCAAATCACATAGTGGTAGAGATAGCAGAAGTATTACTGGTAATAAAGAAGATTAGGATTTAAAGATATTATTCAAGAAGTATAATTCAGACAGATAAGTTTAGAAAGACAAAAATAGAGGTGTTGACGAATTCAGAAGATTAGGATTTTGGAGAACATAAAGAGTGGATGCCACCTGCGCCATTGCAAACGATTTTGAGACATGTCGTTCAAGGTCTCTAACCACTGGTGACTTACGTCTCGCGGACACCAGCCAGGTAGCCTACATCTGCCAACATGACTCAGTACACTTGTCAGTGACTTTATGTATTTTTGCCATGTTTTGGTTTGGCCGCCCCTAGCTTTCTTTCAACCTACTCATACATAGCTCGTCACGGCAGTCGGTGTTTAGGCATTCGTAACACATGTCCCAACCACCTCAACTGATGAGGTTTCAATGCTTCTATTGATTTGCCATCCTTACCTAGAACTCATTTCCTAACGATGGCACTGCTTACTCGGTCGTCCCATGATACACAAGCAATGCTTCGGATACATGTATGATCGAAGTCTAGTAACCTACGAATGTCCTCTACTCTTAACGGCCATGTTTCGCATCCGTATAGTAGGATGGAGCGAACTGCTGCACAGTACACTCGTCCTTCAGTCCGCAAACGAATATCTCGTCTACACCATAAGTGACGCAAGTTGGCAAAAGCCAATCGAGATTTCTGTATCCATGCTGAGATTTTGTCAGTCATTAGTCGATCGGCATTGATGAGACTCCCCAGATAAGTGAAGCGGTCAACACGCCCGACTACTTCACTCCCTATCACTAGTTCAGATGCCGATGAAACCCAATCTTGAAGCAAATTTTGGATTTCGACGGATAAAACTGCATCCCGGACATGGTTGCATTGTTGCTTATGGTAGTTAGAACACTGCATTTTGTCAGCGTCTTCACCGAATAGAACTATGTCATCAGCATATTCTAAGTCAATAAGTTTTCGAGCATCCATCAGTTCAGAGGATGCTACTGAGATCCACGGCTTCATCCTAGCCTTATGCTTTACCTTGCCAGCATATATCACTGCTGTTTCGACAGCATTTTCAATATCATTCCAAGCTACCTCCGGATAGAGATCACTTACATGGTTGCCTAACTGTCTGTCTAGTTGCTACTGAAATATATTCATAGCTCTGTTATCATTAGGTAGAACATTAAGAGGTTTTCTCGCGGTGTCTTTCCTATGTCCGGTAAGTCGCAAACAAATACAAACAAACAAATCCGAATCTAAACATGTGCTCCAGAAAGAGCGACAGTCCTCTATCGAACCTCTCCATCGGTGGCTGATGGCAATATTATCTAGTTGGGTCCACCGTTAAGACGACTTCGAGGGTCGCCGTGTCAAGAGATGCTTTTCCTTATGCCTAAAGTTAGTGTTTGCTAGAAATAGGCCGTTATCTGAGCACAGTTGCAACAGACGGTCACCATTGTCTGTTCTCTGAGCCCCGACACCATAACATCCACCCAGGTGTCTCTCCTGCTCACGTAGTTTACCTACTTGAGCAGTGAAGTCACCAGCCATTATAACTATATCAGAGCGCTTAACTTTTTGGAGGAGGTCCGAAAGCTTCCTGTAAAACTCATCTTTTACATCGTCTGGACTGCAGTCAGTGGGGGCATAGGCTGATATGACGAAGAGGCAACGGCGAGTGTCCCTATCCTTTTGAATCCTTACTGTCCCATTTAGTCGGACGGTGCACAAGTGACTATCTACTGGGATCCATTCAAGGAGAGATTGTTCTGTCCTACGACTCAATGCTATACCTACACCAGCGAGACCCCTGGAAGCAGCATCAGGGCTACCGGATACACGAAGAGTAAATCGAGTTGCTTCTTTATCTTGACATGGTGAGATCAAGTGAACGATGCTACTCGGATCCTGTATGCGCGTTTCGGAGACGCAGCACACATCGATGGAGCGAGATTCTAAAGTCCTAGCCAATGAAGCTTGTTGCCCTATTTGACACAATGTCCGTACATTAAATGCTCCAAAATGTAGTCTAGAGTGTGTTTTCAGGAGACCAGAAATGACGTTCCGTGAACTCGCATCGTTTGCATTAGCTGTGCAGTGTGATAAAGGAATGTGAGAAGACCTAGTCGTGGAGATAAGAGAGGTATTAGGGGGTGTAGGAAGGATTTGATTTCGACCAATTTGGTCTCGCGTGCTGTTACGGGTATGAGGGCGGTTGTCACTTCCCGGTTGCCTACACCGTGGAAGGTTGTTTCTTGACGAACCTGAAAAGGAAGGTAGATTATCGTTGGTCTGAACGACCTGGGAGCGTGACCGCAGAGTCCAAGGAACAACTGACTCAGGCCGGTCACGCACGTCCTTTTTATGAGAAGTTTTTTGAGTATTAGATCCGCTCTTGAATGCCGTTAGTTGGCACCCGTACCGACGGAGACAGAAATCCGCGAGGTAGCGTGAGGTGTGACATTTTTAGGGTCGACCTTTTCTAACCCTTCCTTCCCTGTGAGAAAGCAGCATCTCTGTAGATGCTGGTTGTCCGAATGAAACACCTTACTGCTGTCACACCTCTCTGCAGTCATCAGTACGACTTCACCCTCAGACCTTGGGTAGCTGCTTTTAGTCTCATCGTTCTCCAGTCGACCTGTCTGGCATGGTAGGACCTGCAGGAACATGTGTTCCAGCCAGTATAGCTCGGTTGGGTCATCACGATAGGCAAGCCCGACCACCGCGTCAAGGTAGCAGCTACGGTCGAGGATTGAAATGTACTTACTTTGTATTGTACAGTTATCTAAAGGATAGTTGGAATTATCAGCTACCATTTCCTAGTTATCGTTTATTTAACTATGTTAATGCTATGCTTGCAACTATCAACGATTCTTACTATTAAAAAAAGAAGAGTTCCCTGTAATCATTCCATCACTATTTTAATGAACATAAGTTTATGCGAATGCTACATTGAACTTTTCATAAAAGTCAATAGTTTTTTGATAGAAATTCTTCAATATATTAGATTGTTTCTGTTATCATTATCCACTTGTGTACTTCATGAAAATGTTATTGAACTATTTAGCATAGTGAGGGCACAATACAATTCTCTTACTGGTTAGCTATTTATATCATGTGACCTTACAAATACGATTATACTACAGTGTTAACATTTACCATTTATCATTTGTAAGTTAGTAGTTGTTTTGGTTGTGAATTCAAGAAAACACTGTCGCATTAATAACTCGGTGTACTGTTCCTTTTTTTTTTTTAAAAGATACAAATATAAATAAATCTGTTGTTAAACATCATTGTATAAATGAACAAGCTATTTTATTTTTTCGATTAACATTGTATGAATCTATGTTAATCAAGACAAAAGTGAAAGTTAATGATGATCAGTTACAGAAAATTTCATGACAGAATCAGCTGTTTTCTTAAAAATTCTTTTTTTTCCTTGTTGTCATATCAATTCCAACTATATAAGTAGTATAATATTAGTTTGAATTGTTTTATTGTATTCAGTATGTAGTTTGTTAGTGGTAATTCCCATTGATCATCATCTGTTTACACACTAAATGAGTATGGAATCTTATATAATGTTAGACTGTAAACAAGAACAATAATCATAATCATAATAATAATAACGTAGGTTAGAAAAGAAAACATTTTGTAACTCCAAACTATGTTTATACTCTACTTTCAATCTCTGTAGACCGACAATAGAACATTGATTAGGCCATACAAACGGAATCATCACCTATCGAATTCATATATTCGACGTATTTCACTAACTGGAATGTTATTAGAATCACATATTGAAGGTATGCATATGGAATCGGGTTTAATCGATCCAATCAATGATTTAGGTTTAGGAAATGAGTATAAAGGACTGAATTGTTTAACTGTAACACGTCATTGTCATCGTCGTCGTCGTGTTGGTGGTGGTGGTCGTGGTTGTGATAATTATAATCGACGAAATCAAATTCATGCTAATAAGTTACACAGTTTTTTATCAACATGCTCATCATTATCATCTTATAATAATCGTTCCTATTCAACTTCTAATTCTGTATCATTTAAATCAAAATACAAATCAAAATATCATCATCCTTCCATTAATGTTCAAAAACAGGCTAATGAAATTATCACAAATGGCAATTCAATTTATTCGCTAATTCATAATGCTGATGATAATTCTGCCCTGTCTTTGTCTGACATCAATTCAATTCATCATGAGAATAATTTTAAAGAAACTAAACAAAATGGTGGTGATTTATTGCATTCAATCACTGGTAATGGACATTGTTATGATAATTCCATTCATACTAATCATCTACTTCATCAAGATTATTTTAATAATAATGATGACGATGATGTTGATGAAAGTGCAGATCAAGTATTAAATAATGAACTACGTGATTTAATTGAATATGGACGTAATTTACGATCAAGTGCATTAGAATTGCATCGTCAAGAAGTGATCAGTTTGGAACAATGGTTATTTTTAAGTGTAAGTTCATTGTATTATTGTAAACATAGAATATGATTTTTTTTTGTTTGAATCATTTTCTTTGTAGAATTTCTACTGCTATTTGTTGACTATGCACATTGATGATGATAGAGCTATCGAATTGTATAAACTGTAGTTTATTGTTGTTGTTGTTCTTTTAGCTATAACTTAGTAATAACCAACCTATTTTAGCTTGGTACAACTAAATGTTAGCACATCAACAGGACATGCTGAAAGTAACCAAATGAATTACAAAAGATATCGAAACAATACAGTAGCAATGTTGGTTAAAATAAACAAAATATGTATGTGATTTGATTCAACAAGACAGAATGGATAGATATCTGAATGAAAACTGAAACTTCAGAAGAAAATGTATCTGTGCTGTTACAACAATTTCTGAACCATGTTACTTAACATCTTTGATCACTGATGTTTCTTGCTGCGCGTATTCTAAATAGATAAGTGGATTTCAAAATTACTGTGTTTCATTGCTATCCCTAACATCAATAGACTTTGGTTGCACATGGTAAAGAAATTCTAGAGATTAGTTTTATTCATAACTGAGATCTATCAGTTGATTATAGTTGAAAACAACTGAAACAAAACCTTAAGAATATGTTTCGTGCTAGTCGGCACTCACAGGATGGTAAGTGTATTTGCGATCCCAAAGTAAATGATGTGCTCAGCGTTAAATTCCAACTTGTATCATTTAATGTCACAGTCACATATGTTAACAGTTCAGTCTAAATTTGGTTATCATCAGTGCTGAATTTTTATTATTATATATGGGTATCTACTCATTAACATTCAGTAAAAGTCTATCATATACCCGTTATATTTCTTTTGAAATTCAAAAAGAAATCACATTTTTGAAAGCATATATCATTAAACTCTACGTATTATACTAATGATTTCCAACCACTCTTAAAATAACCTTGAAAATGGGTTAGGCCGATTTCTAAACAATAATAGTGCAGACAATGTAAATGAATAATTTATAATTTGTTAGGATTTTGGGTTAAGATATATGGATATAAACGCATGGTTTAATTTTTATCGTTTGTTTCATTTAAAATTCAAAATCGCTATGTTGTTTGTTGTATAACAATCTATGAAATGTACTAACATTTATCTTATCCAAATTAGCAAAAGTTTGTATGAATTTTCATGATTGATGAAATGGACTTTGGCGTTCTTTTTTTTTCAAAAATAAACTTGTTGAAAACAAGTCAATGCGATATTCAAGAACAACATTAAAGTCGTGAATCGATCATTGTTAGACCACCATTAAAAACCTGGAGACGCTGGATGGCCGTTTCGTCGTAGTATGGGACTATTCAATGAAATTTAACTATCTTCTAACCCTATAATGAACATGAAAATATACTCACTGGTAACTAGGTTCGTGGGATAATTCTCGGAGCTCTAGTGAGAAGACAATGTTACAGTTAGACATTAATGCCGTTAGATGCTCTGTAGGTTAAACGTTTGCACACGAAATCTAAGGTCCTGGGTTCGTTTCCCTTTAGTGGGGGTCGGGGGCGCTCACTCCTGATGAGTCCTATACCATGATGGAACGACCGTTCAGTGCTTTCAGTGTTGGTCTAACAATGATCTATTTATGATTTCAATGAAACTCGACAATCTCCGTAATTCATTCCATAATGAGAACTGTAAATCAATTCTACTAAGCAGAATAAATGCTATCAATAATTCCTTCACATGTCACTATTTCTAATATATTTTTACATATCAATGTCAGATTTCGATGAATTATTATTAAACTATGAATAAGTGTACGCTTTCAACCAGTCATAAAGATTCAATGCACATGTCCAATGATTTAAGTTCATTGGTTAGTTCCCTAAGATTAATAGACTATCTCATAGGTATATGTATATTGTAAACTTGTATCAATATCAATAAAAATTTGGTGTAAATCAACTTAATTTAGTGTACCATTAAAAGACAATAGCCACTGGACAGTAGTGCACATCAACATCCCTGCCAAGGACTAAATTAAAAACCTATAAGTCTCATAACAAACATTAACCATTAAAATAACAATCCAATTCCTCTTGGTTCTCAACGGTAATGCAAAATGAGACGAATCTGCGACTGATAGCTTCTACAGATAGATTATAATGATCAACACAAAATCACTTCATCAAATTCATAAAACAATTTTTCTCTCCTACCTAAATCAACTAAAATGTAATCAATTAGATTATTGCATACATGTGTTATTATTGTTATCATTATAAATCTTCATATTTTCTTCCTTGAGAAAATCATTTCTATGCTTTATTCTTTTTTCTCTCTATCTCTCTCTCTCTCTCTCTCCTTATTTATTTTATATAGGATGCATTCAGTTTAGTTGCATATCAAAATCCGTATAAAAGTCCACTTAGTGATTTGTTACATCCAAAATACCGAGAATTACTAGCTGATGCTGTAAATGATGCTATTTTAGGTAAGTGTCATTCTTAGTCACCTATGCGTCAATCTGTTTTTCTTTGTTTTGTTTTTATTGAAATCTTCACAGTTACTATTTGCACCTAAATCTTCATTGAAACAATTTTTTGTGCACATTGTTTCGTGTTTGTGCACAACATATTGATTATTTTTCTATTATTCAATACGTTTTTTTCGTAGTTTCGTCATACGAAATGGTGTTTTTTTTGCGAAGCTAACACAAATCATATTATGCAAGTTATTACACTGCTGTGTTACACGCAATAGGGTTTTCTGTTTTTAAAAAAATCTAACTCCATGCAGTTAGCACTTATGAATGAATGATTGAAAGCTTAGATTGGTGATGTTGCGTAGAGATTTCTCTAAATTTAAATAGTTGGTTTTGATTATGAATTGAGCTTCAATTAGAAAGTCATAAAAAATCAATAATCTGCGCACTGAATGATGAAAATGTAAAGTACTGGATTCTCAAATGCCTACTCAATTGTATCGTACTCACCTGGAACCTAGGCAGTTTTCGGTACAAATCAACTATGCTTATTGTTTATTTAGGTATTTAAAACACATAAATAATGGTGCAACTAACTAGATATGCACCACATGCTAAAAATGATTTTGTGACGAAATGGAGAAAGAACAATCAGTTTAACAAAATATGTATAGAAATTAGTGTAGGAGAGTGAAATAATTGTAATAATAGTGGGAGAAACAGTTCAGTTACCAAAGGTACAATCAGAAAAATCCTTTCATTAAAGATGTTCTTCTTGCTTATATGAAGAAAATAAAAGAAAGTTACGGTTCTGGGCCATGTCCGATAACATTTTAAGCCACTGAGCTGCACTATCTCTGCGACACTAACCAGGGAATCAGGAAGGACCAACAGATGCCAATCCTGTACAGCTGTATTTCATAGCGCGATACCGCAACACCCCTCTGCTTTTTCTCACCAGTTCCAGCTTTAGCAAATGTTGCGCGATGTGATATTCGCTGGAACGACACTCGTAGTACATATTCAAGCAACCGAAGTCGGTCTTTCAAGATTGTGAAATCGATTGAATTATCGTTGATGTGTCCGAACACATGTTACTGAACCTCTACATCACTAACATGGTTTTGCCACAGTGTTAGCAATCGTTCAGAGACAACGGTGATCGGACACAGAAAGCTATTGGAAGGACTAGGTTTCACAAGAACAGAACAAAACTGCTCTCATGGACATATTGTAGACCTGACTTTTATAATCAGACTGATACCAAAGATAACCGACCCAAAATTAGCATAAGCCGCTCTAACTTTCATTATACATGAATTGCTCTCATCACTTACGTCATTACCTGCACCTACACAGCTACCCAGGTATATGAACTTTTCAACCACTCGTATCTGTTCATTATCATCTGGATACTGAAGGTCGATAAGTCCTTTCGTAGGTCACAGATCCACACCATCATTACCTACATTCGTCAGAGCTGTCTCCAGAACGTCATCGTTAGCAAAGTTAAAGAGTAATGTGAGATTGGGAAGTCCTGTCTGACCCCACTGCCTGAATGAAATAATAGAGAGAGGCGGTTGTATGCCCTCATTCTTCCTGAGTAGTTTGTATGTGAAGCATTCAAGGAGTTATTAAACTTTTCAGGCACATCGTTTTTGATTAGACAATCCCAGAGAACAGTCCTGTTCAACAAATCGAGGGCGGCTCTGATATAAAGAAACAATGATTGTGGCCTGCGAAATATGTGGCAGTGTCCTATTATTTATCTGAAGGAGAGAATATGATCAATATACCCTAGAGCAGGACGAAAGCCAGCCTGCTCCCTGTGACTCCGTCTTCCATGGGTTTAGATGCAGTTAGAAGTAGACTTATCTCCTGATAGTTTTGCATAGGTGACGTGAGTCTTTTTTAAAGATGGGGACGGACATCTAACTCATTCCAGGATGCTTGAGCACTCTAATTGCCAAACCGTTGTAAACAGCATAGTTTCATAGCTAGAAGGTTACCGCCATCCCTAAAAAGGGCTGGAGGTAAGTTATCTGGGCTTGGTGACTTGTAGCGCTTCTAGGGTTGGAGTTGTGGTGGGTTTTCGTCTTTTGAGCTGAATGCTTTGGTTGTGCAGCTTTCATTGTTCTTTTGAGAAACATCAGCACAAACTTCAGATAGAAGTGAAGTATTTGAATAGATTTCTGATAGACAAACGACATCGATGTTAAGACCTCAAATCACACTCGAATAGCCTAGTTCACAAGGCTGTGGAGCGAATTCGGAAGTCACAGTCCGATGGTAGCTAGTGACGATATTCGCTTTTCATCCTCTCAATTTCGTAAAAATCTCTTCACATAGATGCTGTGTGTAGGATTTCCTCGACAGTGGCAATATGAGAGCATTTCGAGAGCGAGAATAGACTCTCCTCACTCCCAGCCCTATCAGGACATTCAAGGTTAATCTACTGTGAAGTTGTGGACTCTATCTATAAGTTGTTCACGAAACCAATGAGTTACTTTGTGTTCGTTTCTGATTAATTTCCAAGTTTTTCAAACCCTTTCCACTTGTCTGGTTGAAAAGTTTCAGTTATCATTTCTAGTTCACTTATAATGTATCAGAAGAAAGAGTTAATATCCCCTAGATTTTATGCTTCAAACAAACACAACACTGATTTTTTGACGTCTATTTTAAAATGCAATGGAATTTGTTTTCTAATAAAAAAGAAAAAAAAACTATCTTCCTTTATTCAATTACATAAGGATCATATGATTGATGATATTTTCCTTTATTGTTACTATTCCATGTGTTAGTGTTTTTGTAGATAAACATGAAGTCTACTGATATCATTTTAAAATTGACAATTGAATCGTTTTTGATCTGCTTTTTAACAAACAAAAAAGAAAATCCGTTTACATAGAGGTAGATTAAACTAATAGTAGTTTGTCATCATCACTTATAGAAGTGATATATATATATATATATATATATATATATATATATATATATATATATATATATATATAGTGTGGTTTACAATATGACGTAATTAAATTATTATAATGTTATGACGTTGTTATTGAAACTGACCATATGACAATTGAACACCGACTCTATTATGCATTCATTTTTAATTGGATAATTGACTAAGTCACGGTGATAAATATGAAATATTGTTTAAATTACTTCATTTTCAAATAGTTAGATCGTTGTCTCAAACTTCATTTCATCTAATTTTGATTTAGACAGTTGATTAGAATCACTAACACTTATATAAATGTAAAATGTCTCAATACTTAGTACATTAACAGGTATACTTAGTAAGTACATCTTATCATTTTTATTTATTTTGAAAATGATAAAATAGTTTGTGTTGTAAATCTTGATGTGTGCATAGGCGCTGACTTAAAGCAGGATATTAGACCGTGTATAAATAATTTGTCCTTTTTTCGGTTAATTGATATATTTAGGTAAGTGGTTGGTGAAAATCGGTTCCATTAAAGTTATGAAGTGATTTCAATGAAATTCGAGAATATCCACACAACATCGTACTCACAAAGATCTGTTCATTGTTGAAAGACAGTTTCGTTCACGGAAAAAAATCGGATTCAATGTTATTGAATAAAAAGGCAAACATTTTATCGATGATTCTTCTTTGAACTTCAAAACCAGTGCACTCTAAGTACCTCACATTGAGTTTATAACTAACTCAATGTTTAAACTGTGCTTTAGTCCTATAAATATTTAATCATAGATTTAAAATTTAGTCGTTGCTTGACTAACAGTTTTATCCGACCATCATATAATGCCACTGATAAGTTCACTCTGTGACAACTAAACTGTTTGACTTCATTGATTATGGACATCTCTTTAGAACCGTACTCAATCCGTTTGAAACTAATTACCATATGACATTTTTGTATTTAAAAAACCTGAGAACCATGAATTCATGTGTGGCCAAGTGTAATCATCACTCTACTCTTAAGCTTACAGTGATTATATGACTAATATCAGTCAATATTAGCTTTATTTTCGAAACCACTGGTAACAAGTTGTACTGATTGACAATCGAATTTCACATGATAATTTTAATTTTGCACAGTACACATTATTATTTGACAAGAAGAACTGCATTGATTTTTGTAGTTCAATAGCGTTGTTAAATCTCATTCGATACTATCTATCAGCTTTTTCCATATTATTTCCTAAACAAAAATTTGTGCACTCAATTAAAAAAGACACTGTTCAGTTTTTTTTTGAACTTCGTGAATTAATATTTACATTTTATTTTTCAATGAAGAAATATATATCTATCAAACCTAGTATATACCTATTGTGAAGAAACTAGATCTGACAGGATCTGACAACATTATACTCAGAGATAATAATATAAACTCAATGCATAATCGATATCAATCCTAACATTACTAGGTACTTGTTAAGTGATAGAGATGGAATTACTCAGCTAACTATCGAACGCTTGATTGGAGTGCCTCACAGGAAATGATGCGAATGTTTGACCATATAGGCCCAGTGAAACTAAAAAAAGCAGCATTAATATTGAATGTCTATTGAATTGTGTATTTTGTGGTCATATTTACACACACCAAACTGATCCGTTAATTGAATAGATTGGGAAAAATGCATATGTTAAAACTAGTATTTAAGCGGTTTGATAAATTGTTGTAACTGAGATATGTAACAACTGTTCAATTTGTTATTTATGAAAGTTTCTAACAATTAATTACTACCACAACTTGCTTTACTCAGTGTCATACGTTCGGTTACAGTGAAAACGTGTCCGCAAGAGAATATTTATTATTGTGAAAGAATTTCCTATTTACTCATTGCAAGGTTGTTGCAGCTATTGGTTATTTCTTCTTTGTAACCAGCAAAAAATATGAAAATTATTCATGGTTAATTATTAAAAATATGTCATCACTTGTTGTTTCTTTTTTTCTTTTCGTGTTAAATTTTACTCTATCTAGTACATTTAAAACAACCTTGTCGTCCGGTTTTGGATATAGCTTTAACATATTTAGAACATGTTTTAACCGATGAAGGTTCATCGTTTAATGCAACTACCAATGGATCGTTTGCCTTTTATCGTTTCAAATCTAGTCAACCAAATGTTAATGGATTATCTGTTGATCCTTTACAAAATATAAATGCTACTTGTAATACTACCACTACAACTGATAATAGTTGTCCTACATCTAGAACAGCTAATCAAACACCGATTAATGAATCTACAACAACACTCGTTTCACGTGATACTCCAACTACACCAAATCGTAGTATAGCAATTGGTATAATGCATCGTAATGATATTGATCATGAAACACGTCATATAACCGCTGATGTTCAAACATACGCTTTAAGTTTAAATGAATTCAACGGTTCTGGAAATCTACTTCGTCCTGCTAGTACTTCAATTATATCAAGTTCTTTGTATGTTCCACCATCGGCATTAATTTCGTTGACTGGACGAAACAATAATCCAACTACTCGAAGTCCCGATACACAGAGATCATCATCATCAGCGACATCACGTGCAAGACCAACAAGTTTACAAAATTTAATTCATCAACGAAATCAATCACAATCTACTGATTATCAAACTACTACTACTTCTACTACTACTCCTACTACTACCACCACTGCTAATACATTGGCTTCTGTTAGTACTAGCACTTCACCTTCACATTTCAATCGTTTTCTAGTCACAACATCCAATTGGCCTGTTTCTGCACCTTTTTCCTCATCGTCAGCTACCACTGCTACTGCTACAACAACAACCACTACTACTAGAACTCAAAATCCTAATCGATTCTCACCGTCACGTGTTACAGTTACCTCTTCTCTTACTAATACACATGCACCGACTGGACCGGAATTAGCAGGATTTTTTCATCCCATTTTATTTATAGGATAAATGAGATTCTTTTTTTTTATACATACATCATTTTGTCAAAGACAAAAAAAACCGAAAGATCACCTGACTTCTCAGTCTATGCTTTTTCCCTCTGGGTTTTTTTTTCTCCTACTCTGTTAAAACGCACCATATCCTCACCCCTGTCCCAGTTATATTTCACTATCATCCCCTTCCCTGTCTTATTTCAATTACCACTGTAATTATAGTCCCTTCACAATGGATATTTGTTACTTTGTTGCTTTCATATTTATACTTATATTACGATACATTAACTTGTAGTTGTTTTATTATTATTATTATTATTGTTATTATTATTATTATTATTGTTACTATTGATAACTTATTTTTACTTTAGACAACTATTTCCACTCATCAGTTGACTTTGTTCTCTGTTCGTATTTTGAGAATATGATTAAAAATCATTCACAGTGTGTGGAACATTTTGTTTAATGCAATCCACTTTATAAACTAAAATGTATTATACTTAATAATAGTTATGTACTCAGAGGCACACGGAATATACACACTACGCACGATAGTTCGAAACAAAAAAAAGTGATAAACAATAAGCGGAAAATAAAATCGATCCTCCTACTTACCCTTTTTTTTCTCTGACTCCATAAACAAAACAACAACACATCACAAGATTACTGATTATAGAAAGTAGTGAAGAATGCAAGCAAAGCAAAGCAAACCAAACTAACTAACTATTGATGCAAATTTCGTTGGATTGTTGACGTCGTCAAGAAAAGAGCAAAAAACGAAAAAAAAAAAGATAACCAGATAGGCAGGTGATGTACACACACCACTACGCTTTCTTCATTTCAAAACTATACGTATCCAGGTTGTTTATGTCACTCATCCAAATCAGCAATTTGACAGTGGTTATTCATACCTTAATTCACTGTGCTCAAGATGAAAAAAAAAATATGCTGATGATCTACTTCTCTCTGTTTCTTCTGTGTATATGTGCGTGTTGTTTTTCTTTTTTTGCTAATTTTTTAATTAAGCCAACATGAAAAAGATTTCTTATTCTTTTTTTCTCTTTTCTGATAATAACTGCTATTTTCAAAAAAAAAAAAGAAAATAAAAACGGAAAAACATTAAATAATAAAAAATAAAACACCAATCATGTTCTTTTCGTTACAATTTTTTTTTCCTTTTTGTTATTACTTTTACTTTCTTGTTTTTTGGTTTATTTTTAATGCTTTCTTCGTTATTCTAGATTCTCACTAAATTTGGTCGTCATGTTGTTTTTTTCTCTCTCTCTCTCTTTGTTTGAGATGAATCTAAAAAGAGAGTATTTTCAAAAAAAAAAAAGAGAAATACATAAATGGTCTAATTGATTTTCTTCCTTGTCTTGTGAAAAAGCAGTCGATTTATTGCTGCTCACTTGTTGTTCAGTTTTCTGCCTGATACAATTGACACACATGTATGTTAATTTTTTTTTAAGAATCATTTAAATTTTCTCCTCATTAAAATTATGTGCAAAGCTTACCAACCAGCCTTAAAATTTATTAAAGATAGATAACATGCACATGTGTTTGTTTCATTGTCGATGCATACACGCAGACAACTAGACAAATGATTCGTTTTCTTACATACATACATACGTACATGCATAGTTCGGGGGGGCATGGTAACACGATAATCCACTTAGACTTTCTTCTTTCATCATATCCATTCATGATTGAGTAGTTTTTTTCCTTTGGTGCGGTAGGTGGACTTAATGTGGTCTCTTTTCATTATTTTCAAATCTTCATTTTAATAAACAGAGAAAAGAATCTACTGACTATTATTATTATTATTATTGATACACTACTATTACAAATACGATTATTATTACTATTATTATTGTTACATGATTTGGTTAATTCAATTCAAACTATATTTGTGTATTGTTGCATAACTTGTTTTGTTTTTTTTGTTTTTCTACTAAATAAACAAAAGAATTCCCTTTAGTTTATTCATTAACTTCTTCGTGTAGCTACAATTATTCACTACTACTACTATTACTACTACTACTCTCTGGTTCGTTGACAGATCTACTTTGAGGCAAGCACATAACTTGCGATTGATGACCAACTCAATTTTTATTCTATTTACGTATGTATGTGTGTGTGTGTGTGTGCGATTGAGAGAGAGAGCGCGAGAGAGAGGAATAATAATCTTTTTTTTCTGAGAATTCACTAACATTTTATATAACTAATTGAAACAAGAAACTTTGTAACAAAATAAGAAATAATAAGCAAAAAAAAAATGAAAAAAAGCTCCGTTATACTTTTGAGACTATAATAACAATTATTATTATTATTATTATTACTATTATTATTTTATTTTTACCATTAAACAAAAAAAATTTACAATGAATGTGACTATTGAGATTATGCGAATTATCGTTACGATTGTTTACAATTCTATGAGTGAATGTTTTTACAGAAAATAATCAAAATTTCATTGTATGTAATTTGTTGTGTTATTATTTTTATTATTGATCCATTTTTTAGATTCTTTTTTGTTGTTGTTGAAATGAATAGTTATTTGCTAGGATTATTAGGCAAATGTTATTAATAGGACCTATAATTCAACAATTATGAATCAAGCTTAGATAATAAGCTCTACAGCAAATATGTATTGTGTAAAGATCAGAGATAATGTTTTCTGGTTGATAAGTCGCTGTTTCAACCAATTTTCGACATTTATGATACAAGCGTGATATTTACTCTACTCGCCTACCAAACTGCATGTAATGCTAAGTAGATGTTTATTCTTATGCAACTGTGTGATTTTACAACATACACTGTAAATGTAGAGTACTTACATGGGTTGCTAGTATTTTGTATCGTTGAAGCAGTGTTCACATATTGTTAAAGAATCAAATAATCCTGAAATTAGGCTTAATGTATTACGTAACGATTGTAAATTAGTTGATTTGATTATAAAACCGTATCAACTGAAACGATTGAGACTAGTTTGGTGCACATCAAACTATCCTCTATTTTGACCTACAATGGTGACTAATTTAGCAATAGGCGGAAAGAAAACTAGGAGCGACCAAATGAAACGTGAAGTTATTGGTTTGAATTCTTTACGGAGATATTGGCTTTGTGCTTAGAGTCTGTTAATTCTCATAAATTATTAGTTACTCTCAATTATATGGCCAAAACTCTGCTGTAGCTGTGCAAGTTAGTTCTGTTTCCAAAATCTGTATTTGTACTTTGTTATTTGATTTACATGAAAGTTTCATTTCACGTTTCGATCAGAAACCTGTGTTTGAGTGACCGGCTTCAAGTAGTCATCTTTATCGCTCGGTGTTCACGCAACTAGATCGACAGTAACACTACTAGTTTAATTTCCTTTTCAAATAGAAGTGTCCTTTCATGTTTTGAATAACTGATATGTGAAGGCTACTACAGTGAACAGTATTTAGGGCCAACTTGTTTACTGTTGACTCCATAGACTTCTTTATATTTCCTCTATTACTACTTTCAACTCTTTTATGACTTCATCTTTTTCTACACACGCCACTACTGCTAACAAGATGAGTTCCAGAAATATCATTCATAGCCGGTTAAAACGGAGCTCCAAGCTACAATTTGTAGCTTTTAATGTGTAAACTTCATATCATTGTCTGGAACTGAAGAATTTCTGGAGCTCATATAAGTTCCAATTGTGTCCATCCAGCTGACCCCCCCTAGGCCTAATGCAATTTACTCTTTGTGTTATTGAAGACTTAAGCGTTACATCTCGTTTCCTCTCTAGTGTAGATATAATAGTGAATCCAAAAACAGGTAAAGATCTCGGATGAATTCCGATGGGAACATGCTTGTTGTGTCTGAGTTAGTTCGTCGGTAGGGATTTGGAAGGATAAGGACTTCGACCGGCGTTTCTTCGCTCTCTTTCTCTAATTCCTCATTGATTAGTTGGGATGGAGGAAAATATGGGTTTTACTGAAAGCTTTTTGATTTTCAAATGATCAGACGTCATAGTCATAGCAAGTGATTCCATTGCCACAGTATATATTCTAACCGAGTTGAAATTATATTAGGTGGAATATTTGGTGTAGCAACTTAGGGTACCTATAACGGTGACCGTCACCTGAAACTATTGTCAGACAATCATTTATTTCTAGCAATCACCAACTTTAGTCATAGAGAGAAATATTGTCTGATGTGACTGAAAGATAAATGCAAATAGACCATGTAGCCACTCGCCATCATCGAAAATATAATCAATAAATTCATTGGTAGTACAAATATCAATGGCAGTCTTGAACAGAAATCAATCTGATTAGAATTTACAGCGATTGTATACCTTAAAGTTTGCGAATCATGTGATTTAATTGTCATTATTGTTAATTTTAAGAAACATTCTTGAAGATTTTCCTAGCAAGCACTGGATAATCAAATGAACAGTTGTTAAAACCAATTAATAATAATTTTTATCTGTCTAGACAAAACAGTCAACTCTAACCAAAACATACAATTGTTATATTTCTATTATTTATTTGGTCTGTTTTTGTTTTGTATTTTTTTCTAACTCATCATCTGAGTCTTCAGATATCAACAACCTCTCGCACACTGAGTTATTGATCGGTGAACAGTTAGGTATTTTCAGTTCTACCATTAATTCTACTTGTTTATTTACCAAGAAACTTTATGGTGATGCGAAATGATAGTAATAATGATAATAGTTTTATAACTTAGTATTTTCACACTATATATCTTTGTGCCAATGTACACATTCGGTTGGATTTAAATTTCTTTAATAACCGAATGATATGTATAAATAACCAATAAGCGTAATTGTTATACATAGTTATTAACTGATAATGTTGGCTAAACATCCACGACTGTAGTTGTTACCTTGACGTGGCGGTCGGGCTTGCCTACCGTGATGACCCAACCGAGCTATATTGGCTGCAACATATGTTCCTGAAGGTTCTACCATGCCAAGCAGGTCGATTGGAGAACGATGAGACTAAAATCAGCTACCCAAGG